AAGCCAACGCCCGGCCGGCCACGTCGCAGATGACGTCCGGCTTCAGGCCGGCCAGCACCATCGACTTGAACCTCTCGCTCGGGTTCACCTCGATCTAGGCGCAGGCCGGGAGGGTCAGTCACGGGTGCGAAAATAGTCAGTGACGCATGCGCAATGGGAATGACAATAGCGGTCATTTCCACCCATTTCCTAAGTTTATATATATATATATATATATATATACACGCACGCACGCACGCACGCACGCACGCACGCACGCGCACACGCACGCACGCACGCACGCGCACACGCACACACACGCACACACACACGCGCACGCGCACGTGCACGCGCACGCGCACGCGCACGCGCACGCACACGCACACGCACACGCACACGCACACGCACACGCACACGCACACGCACACGCACACGCACACGCACACGCACACGCACACACACACACACACACACACACACACACACACACACACACACACACACACACACACACACACACACACACACATATATATATATATATATATATATATATATACAATGTGTGTATAGATATATATATATATATACACCTCGAAAACCCCAATAAACAATAAATTTCCATGATAGTTATTGAAACTTGCTGTAATTTGCTATGCGAATTATTGCCCGCTCTTGAAATCATAACTGAGGTAAAAAAATTGGACATTTAAGGCCTTGCTTTGTTTTACTTCGGTACTCTACCATCCATAATTACAACTCAATAGTCCAGCATCGACATGCGCCGCGCACGGCTGTCTCCAACTGACCTGGATGACGTCGAGATTGTCGTTGAGTGACGCGTCGCAGGTGGGGCATTTGACGGGCGTCTGCTGGATGTATTTATTGCCGTCCTCTTCGCAAAAGGCGTGCAGACAGCTAGTCACCCAGGCGCGGACGGTCAACGGTTTTCGGCATTTGTTGAAGTTGCAGACGAGCTCAGTTGAGTCCGTCATGGCGAGCTATTTGATGCAAAGACACCTGGTGATTTTTCGAACCCGGCTAGGCGTCGCACGTCAAGAAATGACAGGAACTGTCCTTGCCTCCTCCTCATGGGCATAATCGCCACTAGGGTCGGTGAGATCCGGACCCTAGTGACTTTGGAGCAAATCAGAGTAGTTTGTGCTTTGGACCGTGTAAAATGGTGCGAAAACAAGAATGGACCCCGGTGACATTCAAGGCTTGATCCCGTCAATGCGATACTTCCCCAACATGAAAAGCCTTCCACTGGTACCAGCTGCGTTTATATACCGTATCATTGAACATTATCTGAACATTATCACCCACATAGGGGCGTAGAAACTGAGGTTGGAGCAGGTGAGCTGCGGGGACACACACAGGACTTCGCACTAGGGGGTGGGAGGTTGGAGCTTTTTAGCTTTTACCGAAAGTCCGGTTTTGCCCGCTGCAGGCCCATGGGATCGATCGCATGGTGTAAAACAACGTCGTGTGCGCTCTTACGCATCTAGCTTACAAGTGTGCCAGTTTTGAGTGTCAAACTTTATTCGCCCATATGTTAATGCAAGCGAAAAAAATCACGGTATACTCGTGCTCCTTCTGGACAACTACGTGGATACGCCTCAGGATAGGGGGGGGGGGGGGGGGGCGAGGCCCCGAATTTATGAGAATTTAGCATTGGCGTCCTTTCCACACTGGACAAAATAACCTAACATAGCTATTGCCTCTGCAGCTTAGAACGACTTCCATTGTCACTACATGTACGCTCATGCAAGGGTGTAATTTCCAAAAAAGTTGTGTGGGGGGCTCAGCACGGAAAAACACAGACTATTCCAAAACGGAGGTTTGTTTCTCGTCGAATTTGATGCATTTTCTTCTCAAATTGTGTGTGGGGGAAAGGGGCAACGTTACAAGAAGTATCGCGGATGGGTGGGCGAAGCTCGTTTGTGGAAGGGAGAGGGCTGCCCGAAGAAGTGCTGGTCCTTTTTGCGACAATTTTGAGCAATGGGGTTGACATGTTATTGGGACTTGGCCCAAAATTTGGGAAGTGATATGGCCCTCTCAAATACGTAAAAAGTCCCACTCATTGCCAGAGCCTCTGCAACTGAAAAGGGCACATCTCCGCGTTCCAGCAGGAGGCTTGACCCCCTCCCATCCCCCCCCCCCCCCGCTGTATGGGAGACAGCAGACTACATCCCTGGTTAATGCTCAAATCTGGGTGTTCATTACCCTGGCAGCGCACATCTCGCTCTGAGTTTCTTCCGCATAAGATCACTCATCATCGGGTTTTCTCCTCGCTGAGGTCTTTATTACGATACATACCTTTATTGGCCGTCGGTCCTCCCGCACAAACGACCCGCGGTTCTCGCCAGTCTGTGTACTTTTTGGTGAACCCAAGGTAATACAGCCACTGGCAAACAGGACGGTGAGACAACACAAACCATTCCTTACTCTGCGCCAATCAGACTTCCCACTACGTTGCCACCAATTCAAGGCAGGGCTTTTCAACAAGGCCGTTTACTGAAACCTGCAAGTCACAGTGATTGCCACTCACCAGGTGGACCGGGGTTGGCGTCAACGGAGCAGAAATAAAACCTCAAGAACTATTAAAATGTTATTCACGTACGCAGTGCACGACTGTCTTTCAAGGGCGAACTAGCTGTATGGAACTGTCCATAATTTGCGTTAAGCGTGTAGAAGGACGGGGTGGATGGAGCGTAACAAAGAAGGTAGCGGAGATTTTGGATAGTGTAACGTTACGGTCAGGGTTGGTAGCAAATTATATAAGAATCATGAACGCAAAATAAAATATTGAGGCGAGATACCGTTGGCTTCTTCTCATAAGTAACACGTCCGTTACTTTTTTACACTCACAAGTTATTAGGTGCATTTGCGTGGGACATCATGCACATAGATAAGACGGAACTGATAGCCTTTTTCCTCGTGTTTTCCTTGCACTAACTCGATAAGGGCCAAACGGACATTACACTTAATGCTGCGTAGTGTGGGCTGGGGTCGCCCGGCGTAGCCAAGGATCAGGGAGGGTTGAAAAGTTACGAAAAGTTAACGTTGTTTGTGGACGGTCCTGTTCTCGTCGAGTATGCAGCCGTAATCCGTGTTCTCATTTTTTCGTTCATTGCATTCCACAACAGGGCCCGCTGTGTGTTCGCTCCATCTGTGCGCATGATGGTGGCCTTTGCTCGCTGCCCGACCGACATATTTCTTTATCGCTTAACTTTTTACTCTTTGGAACCGGGGTAGCTGAGCAGGTTATAGGATGCACTTAACTGGAGATGTCAATGGTTTTCTTGGACTGGTCATCTTTGTATGTCGTGTGCATCATTTATATGATGGCTTGTTGCGCGAACGCCGTAGAGCCGTAACCCCCAACCTTGATTCCGTGGGCGGCGGAGATGGTGGGTAGGGGCAGGCAGCCGTTCCTCTGCCGGTTGACTGATATGAAACAATGTTGACGCCTATGACGTTGCGGTGAGGGAGCGGGGGCAATTTATTTGGTCTCTCCCCCCGCAATCTGTTTAGAGGTCAAATAGGTTCCTAGGAACCGATTGTATTACCTTCTGCTTCCTTTCCTGCCAGCCTGTGTTTGCTCAGTCTTTGTAGTAGGGGAAATCCACGCGGCCTGCCTCTCGTGCCGTTTACGCGAGAATTATCGCGTCATGCGGGGGAGGGAGGGAGGGGCCCGAGCCCCGAACGCCTGGGAAGATGTAGCTCTAGACTCACAGTAGCGCATGGAAAGGAACAACTCGAAGCGCCTCTGATCTACCTCCACCAATCCTAGACAAACTCTCGCACTCCTGAGGCTTACCTGTTACGCTGGTACGGCAGAAATGGTGGGTACAGGGGACAGTTAGCGCATCATACCATTGAACCCCGCTAAAACACCAGTTCAGCCATGGAGTGTAATATTATTAGCAGAGTTGCAACCAAAGATTCGGGAAAGCTCGTCCCCTAGTCCGTATTTTTTGACACTAGATAGTTCTTTCGGTTCTCTTATGAGTGCTGACTGAGCCCCTAGCTTCTCCATAATAAAAAATCTAGCCCGCGGTGTTGCATTGAAGAAAACCAGGTAACGATCGTTTTGCCCTCCACCCAGAGGGTCTACGGTCACCGCCTTCCGTGGTGCCGGTTTCTAAATGGTGCGTTGTATCCATTTAACCAACCGACAGGAGAACCCAGAACTGTGTCATCACTGCCACGGATGACGAGTACGAACACACATTTTGTAACTGAATCGCAATGGATTGAAATTATCAATGACTACGGGTGACGGAAGTCCTCTTATGTTGGGGGTCGAATTCAGCTATTGCTTTCCAGTCAGCGTCAATCAGGCCAGTATTACATTTCAGAAAATTAAAGGGCTCAACCACCTCTGGACCCTCAGGTCCCGTGCCCCGCTGATTCCCTGACATATAATGATCATTCATCGTTGGTGTGGACGCTTTCATCGGAATTGGACCCGCGTTATAAGCTAGCTATGTCAATTAGCTTTTGGGGTGGGCTTTCGTAGAAAAGTGCTGGAGAGGACAAACGAAACTCCTTATGGTTAGAGAAGGCGTGCCAAGACTTCTCATAGAACTAACTTTCATCCTTTGAGCATTGGGGTTGAATTGTTTTAGATGGTAGGGGGGGGACGTTCAACATTGGGATGATGGTTGAGGGGAGCATGGCCTCTCAAAGAGATTCGAAGTTTTATCCATTTTAGCTTCCTGAAATCAACCTATAACCTTTAACTCAGAGGAATTTTTGCAATATCCGAATCCTCGGGCACAATCAGTCAAGATTTCCTTGAAACTATTGCATAATTCGTAAATCTCCGGCGGCGCTGTGACATTTTTCGACACCGGAATGTGTTGTCGAATCACCGTCATGCATTGGTGTCCTCACATGGCAGCAGACATCTCGATGCCAGCGTGTCACCCCCGACACTAGCAGAATGTGCTGGCCATGCTGGCCGTTCCTTCGGCCGCCAGTGGCGTCGCTGACACCGTCTTCCTGTGCCGCAGGGGAAGCTGACGGCTCGCGAGAGAGTGCGCTTGCTTTGCGACGCCGGCACGTTCGTCGAGTATGACGCCTTCGCCGAGCACACGTGCTCCGACTTCGGCATGGAGAAGCAGAAGGTGGCCGGCGACTCGGTGGTCACGGGCCGCGGCTCGGTCTACGGCCGGCCCGTGTTCATCTTCAGCCAGGACTTCACCGTGTTCGGTGGCAGCCTCAGCAGCATCCACGCCAAGAAGATCTGCAAGGTGGGTACCGCCAGCTAAGCCCGTGGGGCTGCTGTGACGCTGTTCCAACCCAAGTGAATACCCCGATCAATACTCTGCACGAAATCTTCGCTGACGTGGATACGATAACTGGGCCTGGAGATTGGATGCAGCGGTGCGTTGTTTGACGCAATATCCTGCCTGGGGCTTCAACGCGACGAAGAAACGGCGCAGGGCACGCTGCGTGCCCAGCCCGGTGCGTCGTTCGCCGCGGCGTCGTGCTGACCTTGACCCGAGCGCAGGTGATGGACCAGGCGCTGCTGACCGGGGCGCCAATCATCGGCCTGAACGACTCGGGCGGCGCGCGCATCCAGGAGGGTGTCGAGTCGCTGGCCGGCTACGCCGACATCTTCTTGCGCAACGTCATGGCCTCGGGCGTCGTGCCGCAGGTGGGTGGGCGGGCCGGTATGGGAGGCTCTCTCGCTGCTCGTGCCGGTACTCGCGAATAGGTCCTCGCAGCTGGTGCTGACGTTTGAGGGCGTCTGTCACGCAGCTTGTGCAGAAACCGACAAGGGAACTGTCCCGAGCTATGCAGACCTGACGCCTATCCCATCCCACTTTCGGTGGGGAACTCTGGCGGTGGTGTATGGCCCCGGCGGCAGGGCTCTCGCGGTGTTCTGGCTCCGGCGGCAGGGCCCTTGCAGTGTTCTGACTCCGGCGGCAGGGCCCTTGCAGTGTTCTGGGTCCGGCGGCAGGGCTCTTGCAGTGTTTTGGCCTTGGGGCTCTCGCGGTGGTCTCTGGCCTCGGCGGCAGGGCTCTCGCAGTGGTCTCTGGCCTCGGCGGCAGGGCTATCTCAGTGGTCTCAGCGGGACGACCTCCTGACCTCTGTGTCGGAGCTCCCGCATTGGTCTGATGTTGGCGCCAGAGGTTACATAACTCGCGCCTCCGTTACACTCGTGCCCCCCCCCCCCCCTGCCCCTCTCATCCATCAACCGCGGTCAGCGTCTCTGGGCCGATGAGTAGTAAGGATTAGATGTAATAGCTTCATGGAGTTTTACTGTGCTGTCATTTCGGTGGCCTGATGGTGTGATGCCTGTGTTTTGCGGGGCTTTGAGGAACCCCGTCATGCTAGCCAGCTCGTCGCCTGGCTTGGTTCGTACGTGTACACCGGGGGCCGGACCGCCCTCAGATATCTCTGGTGATGGGGCCGTGCGCCGGAGGAGCCGTGTACTCCCCCGCGCTCACCGACTTCACGTTCATGGTCAAGGACACGTCATACCTCTTCATAACGGGACCGGATGTCGTCAAGGTGGGCTCCGTGGTGACCCGGCCTTCGTCACGTCTGGTCGGGCAGATGGTGGCCAGGATGCGCAGTCCTGATCAGTACCTGTGCTCATCTCTGCGTCAGCTGTTCTCTGGTTCTGCCTCAGTGCGCTGGCTTCCCTTCGCGTGGACCTCTCGGCTGGTGTTTGAATGTTCCAACTCTCCATTATCCGGCCTACTCTGCTCGCGCCAAAGCGTTTGCTTATTTACCGACGCATGCAAGCGCCGTAGCCAGTGCCCCCAGCAGCTCTCAGGCCGTTCGTTACGACAGCACCTGCAGAGTATTTTCGCGGTGCGTAAACTGTCACCGCCCACTGACGTGTTCCAGTCCGTGACCAATGAGGACGTGACGTTCGAGGAGCTGGGCGGGGCTCGCGTGCACACCTCCGCGTCCGGCGTGGCGCACAACGCCTTCGACAACGACGTGGACGCGCTGCTCACGCTGCGCTCCCTGATGAACTTCCTGCCGGTCAGCAACACGGAGTCGGTGCCGGTGCGACCTTCGGACGACCCCTGGTGCGTGGACGCGGCCCGAGCACGGCCAGGCGCCGCAGTCGGTCTGAGCGCGCGTGGAGTTGCCGTTGGGGGCGCTGCTGGAGTAGGACGTTGCGCTGCGGTAGAATACTGCACTCTTGCCGTCAGGGGCTCGGTAGTAAAGTATGGGGAACTGGATATGTGCAGGAGTTTTTGGAGCTGCCAGTATACGCCATTGTAGGAGTATTTAACGTTTACTGGTGAAGCAGCACGGAACAGCTCCCGAAACAGAAATGATGTATGTGACACGGAAGAGAACGGGAGCTGGGCGAAACGCTGATGAAAATGGCATATTCTTAACACAACGGTTAGATGAAGTGTTTATTTCTGTGTCATGTATTGTGTTTATTGCACCACTGACCCGACCCGCGTTTATTGTACCAAGACCCACGTCCCAAGACCCACGTCCGCCTGATCGCCCCCGTACCGCCCCCCCCCCCCTTGCCCCCCTTGCCCCCCCCCCCCGTGACCGCCCCCCTAGCGTGTCCCCTGCCCCGCGCCCCCTCTCCTGACGTCCCTCCACCCGCGCCCTCTGACCCGTGTCCCTCTGACTCGCCTCCCTTGATCCATGCCCGTCCTGAACCCCTCCCCCAGGCCCACGCCCCCTGAAACACATCCCCCTGACCCATGCCCTCTCCCCCGAACCGCCTCCCCTGACGCAAGTTCCACTGAACCGCCTCCCCTGACCTGCGCGACCCATACCCAAGTCCTCCTGAACCGCCTCCCTCGGACTCGCGTCCCCCCCCCCCCGAACCGGCTCCCCCTGATCCACGCCACCCTGAACCCCATCCCCCTGACCTGTGTCCCCATGGCCCGTGTCTCCATACCGTGTTGTCCTAACCCGTGTCCCCCTGACCCATGTCTCTGTGACGGCTCAGGGACCGGGACGTGCCGGGCCTGGACACGGTGGTGCCCCTGGACCCAATGGCCGCCTACGACATGCACAGCGTCATCACGTCGCTGGTCGACGAGAACGAGTTCTTCGAGCTGATGCCCCACTACGCCAAGAACATCCTGATCGGGTTCGGCCGGCTCAACGGCCGGACAGTGGGCATCGTGGGCAATCAGCCGCGCGTCGCCGCCGGTACGAGTGCCGCGCGTCGCGCTGGAGGCGCCCGACCGCTGCCTCTCTGGATGGTCGGCTGGCTCGTCAGATTTGAATGGTCATGTCTATGTGGAGTTGCGTTTGTGCGCGGTGATTGATCGGGTAGGTTTACTCCCGTTCCAAAGTCGTGTTCATATGATGCTCCCTTTTATGTTGTTCTGCTGGGGTGGAGGGGTCCGCTCGCCGGCAGTGAGGTCAGCCGCGCGAATGTCCGTTACCTCCGCTCACGGCGTGGGGAGATTCTGATGAGCCGCTGCTTCTTTAGCTCGAACTGCCTTCTAGCAAACCTGAGCCCCGAGCGGAGGGCTCGGCTGTCGAGGCAATCAACTGATACTTTAGTCCGCCACGCGAAAGCAGGTGATATGATGCAGCGTCCCTTAAATGCCATTTCTGAGGTTCTCAAAGATTTCCCATGTTTGTGAGAATCATTTGCGGCGAGCGGGCATAAGGTAATCGATAATCATATCACTCATCTTTGGGCAATATGAAAAATCCTGATGCGTTAACTAAAAAAACAGCCACAGAAAATGGCATCTCTGCCACCAGAAACGGTTGAGATGGTGCGTCATATCGTATGCATTGAGAAGTTCCTTAAACAGTATACCTGGTAAGGCCCGGCTTCCCTGAGCCGCCCACCGCGCCATGTCACCGCTGCTGCGGCGGTATGAGGAGCGGTACGGCTCAGGCCTCACCCCGCTGATCGGTACCTCCTCCACTGCCGCCCCCTGCTGCGGCGGTATGAGGAGCGGTACGGCTCAGGCCTCACCCCGCTGATCGGTACCTCCTCCACTGCCGCCCCCTGCTGCGGCGGTATGAGGAGCGATACAGCTCAGGCCTCACCCCGCTGATCGGTACCTCCTCCACTGCCGCCCCGTGCTGCGGCGGTATCAGGAGCGGTACGGCTCAAACCTCGCCCAGCTGATCGGTGCCTCCCCCGCTGTCGCCAGGCTGCCTGGACATCAACTCGTCGGTGAAGGCGGCCCGGTTCGTGCGCTTCTGCGACGCCTTCAACATCCCGCTGGTGACGTTTGTGGACGTGCCGGGCTTTCTGCCGGGCACGGCTCAGGAGCACGCCGGCATCATCCGACACGGCGCCAAGCTGCTGTACGCCTACGCCGAGGCCACCGTTCCCAAGATCACTGTCATCACACGCAAGGTATGCACTTGATTGGGGGTCCATTCACGCTGTTGGCTGGCGTGTGTGGGCTGGAGTTACTACTTTATCCGTGTACTGTGTTGTTTATGCTCCAGGGTCCGCTACTCAGCCCTCTAAGCTGTCCGGTCGCTCCTCATGATCGCCATACGCGGTCCCAGCATGTTCGGTGTCAGGCGCCTGTTTGGCCGTGTGCCGTTTGGACGCCGTCGCATGGCTACACGCCCCCCCCCCCGCGCCCATCACCCCGCCGTCACTCCCCGTCCAAGCCCGCGACACCGCCGCCCGCCTCACAGCGGCCGCGCGCGCGCCCGGCAGGCCTACGGCGGCGCCTACGACGTGATGTCGTCGAAGCACCTGCGCGGCGACACCAACTACGCCTGGCCGACGGGCGAGATCGCCGTCATGGGCGCCAAGGGGGCCGTGTCGATCCTGCACCGCGGCGACCCGGACCCGGAGGCGCGCGCCGCCGAGTACGCCGCCAAGTTCGGCAGCCCGCTGCCGGCGGCCGTGCGCGGCTTCGTCGACGACATCATCGAGCCGCGCCACACGCGCCGCCGCCTCTGTCAGGACCTGGAGAACCTGGCCAGCAAGCGGCAGCGCAACCCCGTCAAGAAGCACGGCAATATCCCGCTGTAGGCGCTGCCGCCGCGCGGGGTGGGGACGTAGGGTACTGTGCAATCGGGCGACACGGGACTGAGTGGCCGGAGCGCGCGGTGTCGCACGAGCTCCGCGCCACCTCCGCTGCCTTCGGACGTGTGATAAAAGACCAGTGGTTTTGGTTGACGTAGCTCGCGCGCGACGATGTTTTGAGAACTGAGAATCTGTATCGATTGAGGTCGTATTGGTTGCAGGTCTGCCTGTCAGTGTGTATTGTTAATATTTGGTTGCGGCTGACGCAGTGCGGTCCATTTGTATCGATGTCTTGTCTACAATTTATGTTTGTATAAAGCATACCTCGTTTCCGTAGCTCGGGACTCGTGGTTGAGTTTCTTTGTCACCAAATATAGTACTGATGGAGTTACAAGTGTAATCGAAGCGAAATATCCGAAAGGAACTACGCCCTTTACAGTGCGACCGTTGGTGCGGATGGTCGCTCGTGCCGCAAGCGTAGTGGTTGACGCGTTTAGTATGTTAAGTCTGCGTAGTGGCCTCTATCGCGTTTGGGAAACCGGAGGTACGGGGCTCGATTTCCCGCGGTGTCCGCTCTTCCTGCCAGGGTGAGAGACAGGCGACGCCATGTAGCATCAGCAGCTGAGTGCATCATAAAGACCGAATGATAACAACGATCGTGTCCCTGTGACACGCTTGAACACATCTGACGCAGAGCCGGTCCGCACTCTCAGCCGACCCACAGCCAACACGCCAGCACACCTGACCTTCACATATATTCACAAATAACCGTGCGCGGAGCCGCTCACAGATCCGTCAAACCCGGCCGGCGAGGACGGCAGGGGCACACCCCACCCCGCACGCGGCGGAGCGTGCCCCGTCTGTACAAACACGCACGCTAACGGGCCGGCGCCGGCCCACCCGGCCCCCATCACGCTGCTAGTGCGCCACGGCGGCGCCGTCTAGTTATACTTGGATTCCCGCTGCTTGGCCACGGCCTGCACGCACTTGGCCATGGTGGGCGAGGCCCTGGAGATGCTGTTGGTCATGTAGAAGTCCTCCAGGTGCAGCAGGGCGGGCGTCACGGGCGACGTCTGGGACTGGGCGCTAATGCTCTGAAAGCACGGTCACGCGCCAATCAGCGGGACGCATCGGCGCATCGGCGCCTGCAATGTCTCCGAACATAGATCATGATTATCCCAATATTCATGGTACGCACACTTTGTTATCGGTCAAACCAGTTAAATGCACGGCACTTCAACTGTTGCGCCTACCATCAGCGTTTGCGTCCAGACACTGAACGCTGTTTCGAGTTTGGCGCATCAGATAAGATGCTCTGTAGCCAAAATACAGATTACCCTCCCCATCACCCATTCCGTACTCGATATATAAGCCAAGTCGCATTTACACTGTCACCGCGCTAGCTCCGCTCCTGCCCGCGTACAGAAATAGCGGTGACTAACCTTGGCCAGCTCGGCCGCCTGCGCGAAATAGTTGGCATCCTCGACATCCCCGTAGCGCGTGAGGTTGGGCGCGATCTCCGTCATCCGTCGGCGAATCTCTGCCAGCGTGTCGTACGGCAGGGGTTCGCCGACCACCTGCGCACAGGACGCTTCACATGATGCCGCCGCCCCACCTCGGCGCGGGGCAGGTCACATGCTACAATCGCTCGCCCACTGCCCATGTACAAAACACGTCAAGTGCCACCGCTCTGTGCACATCTGCGTACAGGGCACTCACACGGTACTACGACTGGCAGTGGATACGCTGGTGGATCGGCTCGGGAGAGATCAAGGACAGCACTCACTGACACGCTCAGGAGTGCCCCGAAGGCGCCCGGGCAGGGAGGCACGCGGCAGACAGTCGGCGGCGGCTGCTCACCTCGGAGAGGGCGCGCACGATCTTCCAGTCGTCGCGCGCCAGGCCCGGCGGCGTGACGGCCGTCAGTGTCTGCTGCGCCCGGCCCTCGGTGTTGACGTACGTGGCCTGCTTCTCGGTGTAGGCGGCGCCCGGCAGCACGATGTCGGCCTCGGCGGCGCCCGCGTCGCCGTGGTGTCCTGCCGACCGCCAGAGGTGGGTCACTGGTCCGAAGTGACCGCACAGTGCTGCGGCCGGCCGCACTCTCTCTTCACGCTCCTCGCATCGCCGACGTGCCGCTGTCACGACCGCACTGGTTCGGCAAGCACTCAACAGACTAACATCACCTTGGCCGCTCCAGAAACATAAGGACACGAAGCCTCGCTTATGCAACTAATTATAATCGAGATACCGTCGCATTCAACTGTACATAACCCAGAGAACCTTTGGATCCACTTCCTAGCGAAAGTGGAACATAGTGCGGAAGATTGAGTTCGCGCTGTAAGGCCGTGACCTATGCCAGTTACATGTGGCCAGGTGTCGCTCATCGTCTGTTACGTACCCATGTAGATGACAGTGGCGTTGTCGGCCAGGTCCTGACGCGACACGGTCTCCTCGTCAGCGCCGAGCAGGAGGAGCGCCCGCGGCCGGCCGGTCCGCGCCGCCGCCACGCCCGGCCGGTAGCCCAGGTCGAGCGCCGCCGCCTGCGACGCCACCCGCTGCAGCACGCTCAGCACGCGCCAGTCGGCCGGCGCCGAGGCGCGCGCGCGCAGCTGCTGCGCGAGCTGCTGCGCCAGCGCCAGCAGCTGCGCGCCGTTGGGGCCGGCCAGCGCGGCGGCGCCCAGCACCAGGATGGGCCGCTGGGCGGCGGCCAGCTGGGCGCTGTAGGCGTGCTTGCCGGCCAGCAGCTGACGCAGCGTGTCCAGCGAGTCGCCCAGGTGCTGCGGGGCCCCGGTTTGTGACGTCAGAGGCGGCCTACTCCGGGATACAGACCAGGGAGCGTAGACGCCGGACTGTGTTGACAGACAGCCTCAACGTGAAATAACTTCCCTAAATTACCCCTAGTGGGAGATTACGCAAGTTTTGAGAACATGTCTTACAACCGACGCGCTGATGTAGCTCACTGCCTGAAAACGCATTCCACATCACCTTCTTTTTTTCAGTACGGGTACGACGAGCAATGAAAAAGGAACCGAAATGTGAACCCGATGTGAACTAGCTGTGATTTATAGCACGGCTTACAGCTGACACGTATCAAGTACAGACAGGCCGGGTGGTTCCAGGACGTCCGCGCCAGGTCCGCGCACGGCTTGTTCTGTACACCGGCAACCCAACCTTTGGATGTTTTGTCATCCACCTGGCCGTGACCGGTCGGTGGACCATGCGTTCGTTTTTGAACAGAGAAATCACCAATCCTTTCAATTGTTCAAACAGCCAGAGATTAGTAAAAAGGGAGATGGCCACCATCGATCAGTCTTAGCAACTCAAACCTATAAAAACATGCTTGCAATCCGCACTTTTTGTTAGTCTAATAAATCATATTGTTTTTTCCTAAAAATTTGTCCAGGAATTTGTTTTGATATTTTCTTCACAGATTCCAATCCTATGCCCACATAGATCGTAATGAAGCTTGGGACATGTACTAAGACTAATAAATACATTTATCCGATCCCTGACTCTGTACGAGGTAGACGATTCAAGGTGGACGATGTAGACGATTCGAGGACGACGATGTGGACGGTTTGAGGTAGATGAGGTAGACGGTTCGAGGTTAACTGTTCGAAAAAGACGGTTCGAGGTAGACGGCTCGAGGTAGCTGGTTCGAGGGAGACAGGGTAGACGAGAGGAACGGTTAGAGGTAAACAGTTCGAGGTAGACGGTCCGAGGTGGACAAGGTAGACAAGGTAGACGGTCCGAGGTAGATGGTTAAAGGTAGACGGATCGAGGTAGACGAGGTAGACGGCTCAAGGTAGACGGATCGAAGTAGACGAGGTAGACGAGGTAGACGGCTCGAGGTAGACGGTTCGAGGTAGACGGCTCCCACAGTGCTCTGAGCAGCCGGTTCGATAGCGCTGTCCGTTGAATGGCAAGTTCGCCGCCGCCGCTGACCTGAGCCGGATAGTTGAGCTCCAGCTGCGGTCCGACCACAGCCACCTGCAGGTCGTTGTTGATCCAGGACTTGCGGATGCGAGCGTTCAGCAGAGGAGCCTCGTAGCGCGGGTTGGTGCCCACCAGCAGAACCGTGTCCGCCTCCTCGACACCTGGCGCCACGTCAGACGGCGCGCGCGTCACGGCGGTGCAGCGGACAGATGCGTGTCTCGTGCCGACGGCGATGTGCGGGGTGGCCGTTCCCAGGTCGCGCGTGGCGCATGATCAACGATGCGGAAGTGCGTATGCCACTGACCACGCACGTCACGCTGGGTGCGTGACTGTCCGTGATGTAGCACGGCGCGGTGAAAGTTTTAGCGGCGCAATGCAAATATATGGCGTGCCATCATAGGCGCGCAAGTAAGTAACGCATTAACCCACACGCGGCTTGTGCACTCACCACCCACAAATTGCAAGTACAGAGCTGTCAGAGCCAGTTTCCCGCGTCCAGTTGGCAGGCCCACTGGACGGTCGCCGCGTCCGTCAGGGAGGCCTCGTCAGAGAGGCCCCGTCAACGAGCCCTCGTCAGGGACGCCCTCGTCGGGGGGCGTCCGTCAAGGAGGCCCAGTCAGAGAGGCATCATCAAGGAGGCGCCGTCAGGGGGCCCCATCAGGGAGGCATCATCAGGGAGGCGCCGTCAGGGAGGCCCCATCAGGGAGGCATCATCAGGGAGGCGCCGTCAGGGAGGCCCCATCAGGGAGGCATCATCAGGGAGGCGCCGTCAGGGAGGCCCCATCAGGGAGGCATCATCAGGGAGGCGCCGTCAGGGAGGCCCGTCAGGGAGGCCCCGTCAGGGCGGCCCCGGTCGTCCACCGTCGGCTGACCTGCGATCCTGGAGTTGAGCAGGTAACTGGAGCGCAGGTCGGTGCCCGAGCCGTCCGTCGGGAACGTCTCTTCGGTGCAGAGCATCTCGGAGCCGAGCCGGTTCACCAGGTCCTTCACGGCCGTCAGGCACTGCCGGCCAGCGCGGCGGCGGCCGTCAATCACCGACGCCGACGGCCCGCACACAGCGGCGGTGACCGGCCGGCGCACTGAGACTGAGCCCAGCCGCCGATCCGACCCGCTCGTGTGGGTCTCACATAACCAGCGCATCGCGCACATCGGCCCTTTTGCCACCGGGCCAAATCGAATTATTTTGTGGGGATTATATGCCCCCCCCACGTCCACGTTGGCCAGCCCCCCTCCCACAATTTTTTGCTGGAATATTACAAAAGCATAGAACCGTGTTGACCATAACACAGCTTCTTCTTTCATATTTCTACGTAGTGGCGTCACCATGGGGGGGTATAGCGGGGTAACTTGACCAACCTCAAAATTAAATCCTCAAATAGGGGGTAACTTAAGATAATGGGGTCACGTTTCATTTTTACGGATTCGCTTTTATCTTTGCCAGCCAAATAAATCCACAGACGCATCTTTCCCGCAACCTTAGTATGACATTTACGCCACTGATTCTGCGGTCTCATGAAGACTCTTATGCTAAGGACATTTTGTCTGCTATCCATGGTAGGCAACAACGCTCACATTGCTTTATCCGAGACAACCAATTCTTTATTGTATTATCTCATACGAAAACATAGCTTGAAACCCAAACGTTTTGTTTTCTTGTTTGTTTTTTTCCGCACGCGCATCGATTGGTCAGATCATAGGCACAGTTCAGCTACAAAATGAGGAGCAATGAGCAGCGCAAATTTTGCTGGTACCGATTTTGCATTCGATTCCGTGCTCACCATTATTTATTTCTGGCATTTCGAACTCGCCAGCCCGCTACTGCAATGAAAGCTCTACGAACCCATTTCGCCGCGGGCCGTCATAACACAAATAGCACGAAACGACCTTTACCCGCGCTATACAACTACACGACTGCCGGCCGTTCTGTAACCAGGCTGCCACTGCCCGGGAGTGGGGCTGAGTAGGGTCCCTGGGGGGCTCTCAGTTCGCCCCCCCCCCCCCCAATCATTTACAAAAATTGACACCCCTGCCTAGTGCGTTTTAACTATAGTGACACAGTGCAATCCAGCAGTAAATAACCGGTCCCGCTATCTGGCAAAGAAGTCACCATCGCCACGACCTCCCGCACGGCGGCAGAGTGGCCACACCAGCTGGGTCAGCATGGGACGGGGCCGGTGTACACCTGAGGCGCGGCTCGGCCCTCGCCAGCCGGCTCACCTCGGCGTCGCACATGCCGCCGGCCACGACGGCTGTCCCCTCGCCGGCGGCGCGCAGACACTTGGCCGTGGCCACCAGGGCGTCCTCCCACTCCACCGGCTGCAGTTCCCCGTCCACCTGAACACCGGAAACGTCACTCACACGCACACACACAGCACCCTCCAACCAGGATGGACCCCGGCCACCCGAACACAGCAGCGGCGGCGTTAATGGCGTGGATACTCCACCGGCGGCAGCTTCCCGTCCACACGAGCGCAGGAGAGAGGCGGCGACACCGGCACGGGCAGCCTCTTCTCCGCCGGTGCTGTTCTGGCCTTCTACATTGACTGTCCGCACGAACGAGTCCTATGTACTGGGCGACATCGCACGTACTACAAACCCTGCCCATGCTGCAATGCCCATGCGATCAGTCTTTAAAATGACATGATCCACGTGGGCCAGCAGTGCGGCAACAAACTCCGTCAGGCTGAAGTACGTGTACCGACATATATGCCCGGGAAGTGCTCGCGACCATACGCCTTCCTCGGCGCCAGCCAGTGTCGCGGTCTCACCCTCAGCATGGGGGCCACCAACCGCTGCCGCTTCAGACCGTCATAGGAGAAGCGGGCCTTGTCGTCGATCCACTCCTCGTTGATGTCCTGGAGAGGGGAGACGGAGAGTGTGATGGAAGCCGAGTCGAAGACAGTCGAGAGGCGCACCGCGGACAGTGTGATGGAACAGAGGACCGAGCGGCGCACCGCGGAGGGTGTGATGGAAGACGGCCGAGGGGTGCACCGCGGAGGGTGTGATGGAAGAGGGCCGAGGGGTGCACCGCGGAGGGTGTGACGGAAGAGGGCCGAGCGGCGCACCGCGGAGGGTGTGATGTGAATGCGAGGCCGAGCACCCGCGGAGGGTTTGATGAACAGAGGACCGAGCGGCGCACCGCGGAGGTGTGATGGAACAGAGGGCCAAGGGGTTACCGCGGAGGGTGTGATGGAACAGAGGACCGAGCGGCGCACCGCGGAGGGTGATGGAACAGAGGGCCGAGCGGTCCGCGGAGGGTGTGATGAACAGAGGACCGAGCGGCGCACCGCGGAGGGGTGAGCAGAGGGCCGAGCGCACCGCGGAGATGATGAGCAGGGCCGAGCGGCGCACCGCGGAGGGCGTGATGGAGCAGAGGGCCGAGCGGCGCACCGCGGAGAGCGTGATAGAGCAAGGGCCGAGCGGCACCGCGGGGCGTGATGGAGCAGAGGGCCGAGCGGCGCACCGCGGAGGGCGTGATGGAACAGAGGGCCGAGCGGCGCACCGCGGAGGGTGTGATGAAACAGAGGACCGAGCGGCGCGCAGTACAGACCTGACATCGCGCGCCGCATTCAGCAGCATAGCGCACTCTAAATCGAGTTAAACCAAGCGCCTCTTTAAATTCAGCAGCGTGAGAACGCCATGACACATGGCGCCAAAGACAGCAGCTATTCCGCGCCAAGGGGTGCGTGGCAGGACCACACAACGTCCCCATGTCCACATTCTGAGCGCCGGACGCGTGCGCTCGGCTCGCTGGCGACAGCCAGAGGCGTACCTCGTTCATACGCGGCAGGATGCGCAGCACCTCGCCCGTGCGGGTCGCCACGACGATGTTGCTGCCGACGGCGTCCATGACGTCGACGCTGTCCGTCTTGCGCACCTCCCACGGCCGCGCCGTGAACGCGTACGGCTTGGAGGTGAGCGCCCCCACCGGGCACAGGTCGATCACGTTGCCCGACATCTCCGACATGAGCATCTTCTCCACGTACGTGCCCACCTGCCGGGCGGGCGGCGGTCAGTCGAGTGACGTGGGCGGTGAGCAGCGCCGGCAGACGGCGCACCAACAGCATCCTTTCAGTGAGACAGCCGACGCCGCGGCGGTCAGACGTCCGCCGGGCTGGCCGCCGTGCCAGTCTCACCTGCATGTCACCGCCGCGGCCGGTCGTGCCCAGGTCATCCACGCCGGCCACCTCGGACGCGAACCGGATGCAGCGCGTGCAGTGGATGCAGCGCGTCATGATGGTCTTGACCAGCGGGCCGATGTCCTTGTCCTCGACGGCTCTGGCGAGAGACGAGTACTCCGTCACAGCCGGCCAAGCCGTTCCCCGCCGGCGGCACGGCTGTGGCAGCCACACTGCGACGGGTCACAACCCCACCAGTTCACCTCATCAAAACATAACGAGACTGTACAAATAAAGGCAGACTGAAATGCTGAAAAATGCTGTCGATTTACACAGATGTTTGGTCGTGTTTAAGTTATTCGTCTCAACTGACGCAGTCATCAAAACGAGCTAGCTATCTTCCGCTGCCGCCTCAAGTCTGAGCCCTGCCACCCGAGACAAGCACTCTGTGAGCAGGGTGACTGCAGTACAGCTGGACACGCGCCGAGCTCACCAGCCGCTCTCGAGCGTCTGCCGCTCACCGTTTGCCGCTGAAGGCGTTGTCTGTGAAGCGGCTCTTGTCGGCGCCGAAGGTCATGCTCTGGTCCTGCAGGTCACATTCGCCGCCCTGCCGCGCACTGCACAGCACCAGATGTCAGCTCAGTGCCGGCAAACGCAGACCCAGACACCAGCTCAGTGCCGGCAACACACAGCCACCAGACGCCAGCTCAGTGCCGGCGACCGCAGACCCAGACACCAGCTCAGTGCCGGCACACACAGCACCAGCCGCCAGCTCAGTGCCGGCAAGCACAGCCGCCAGACCCCAGTTCAGTGCCGGCAAACGCAGACCCAGATACCAGCTCAGTGCCGGCAAACATAGCCGCCAGATGCCAGCTCAGTGCCTGCAAACGCAGACCCAGACACCAGCTCAGTGCTGGCACACACAGATCCAGGCGTCAGCTCAGTGCCGCGTGCGCAGCCAGCGCAGCTATAGACCACTCAACGCCGGCGCACACACGCCGTGCCCACTCAAGTGCGTGCTCTTGTGCGTGCCGAATTAGGCTCAAGTATGGTCGCGGGCTACAGCTGAATAATCGGCAATGAGCATTTATTAAGTCTCGCGATTCATTCCAGCTTTGTGTCACGGCTGATTCATTCTGGATTTTAGCATGTCAGATGGGCTCGGAACACCAACGGCATCCATCCAATGTCGACACAAAACGTGAACACCGAAACAAACGACGCACAAACGCATGAAAACGACAGAGCCCTCGGATCTCCGGCACGGCGCCGAACTCAGCAATGCCAACAGGCAGGGTGGCGCGGCACACCAGCAGACAGCTGGGCGGCGGGCCCGGGCCCATCTGGCGTCCGTCCGCCGGCCGCCGCCAGCGCCAGAGGGCTGGCGGCGGCCGCGGGACGGGCGCGCCGCGCCGCACCAGCGCCGCGCCCCGGAGGGCCGGCCGGGGCGTCCTACCTGGTCGCAGATCGGACAGTCCAGCGGGTGGTTCATGAGCAGGAACTCCATGACGCCCTCGCGCGCCTTCTTGGTCATGTCCGAGTTGGTCTTGATATTCCAGCCTTTCATGACGGGCATGGCGCAGGCCGCCACGGGCTGTAACGGGTGGGCGGTCACCGGCGGCACGGCTGCGACGCTGACTCTGTCATTCCGAGGTCAGGACATCGACCGCACGGCCAGAACGGATGATCACCGCAGCCACCAGTCAAGCTTCAACTCACCCAGCGCAATAATATGACTGTGACTGTTGTGTACTGTGGCACATGACACCAGATTGCACCATGTCACAGCATGCAACATGTCGTCACATTTACAACCTCGTCATGCTGCATTATGCATCATGACACACGGCCACCTTGCGCACGCGCCATTCATCATGTTTTGACAATCACATCTGGGCACTACCAAACGGTTTGGCTCGGATGGCTGCCTGGCTGGCCAGGCAGGGTGGACGGATGGACGGACACTGGACACACCTTGGCTGCCTTCTCCACCTCCACCAGGCACATGCGGCAGTTGCCGGCTACCGACAGCCGGTCGTGATAGCAGAACCGCGGGATCTCCACCCCGACCATCGCCGCCGCCTGAAATGTGTCGCAACCATGAGACGTCAGGCCGACAACTCGGTGACTGTAGGGAAACAAGAAAACAGCTGTGGCATGGTGGGTCTAAAGCCTTGTTCCTAGGCTCGGTCATTTCCACCTCTTTAAATAACGTGCATGTAGCAGTGAATCTGTTACTTAAACCACCAAGAAACAGGCAGGCACTTCAGTAATCTTTAATTGTCAAAAGAAACCTTTTGGATCATGTTAAAATGATAAATACTACTGTAAGTTATTGTTACCAGCTTCTCACAGAGAGGTGATCAACAACAGCAGAAAGAACGAATTTTGGATCTGTTCCGGCAAACTGCACTTATATTGCTGAGTTGCATTCAGAGATAACTAACAGGCTGGCGATGGGACCCACCAAATTGATTATCCCAGCAGCCCACGACAGAGATGTCGCCAGTGGACCTTCTCCAGTCTACTGCCACTCCATAAGGGGGAGGGACAGCCCAGTCTCTTGGCGTGCCAGTCCAAGAGCCCCCGATCCAGAGACGGAGGATACTCTGCCTTACCTGCAGTACTGTGGTACCAGGGTCAACCAGCACACTCTGGCCGTCAACAAATACTTCAATCTTTTCTGGCTGGGTGCTCTGCCATCTGGCGGCAGCCCCGGCCACTGGCTGCCGCAGCAGGCGCGCAATGGCAGGCACCCGCAACATGACGACACACCTGCAACAGGAGGCATGCCGCGATGCTTTGGAAGTAGTATGTGTTACCAGCACACTCTACATGATGGCTGAGGAGGTTAATAGTCCTTTCTATTACCTAACCTACATTGCATGACTCAACACCTTCTTAAAGATTTAGATACAATGCTCTGATTGATAGATTTCTGGAGAGAGCGAGAGAGCGAAAGCGAGAGCAAGAGAGCGAGGGCGAGGGCGAGGGCGAGGGCGAGGGCGAGGGCGAGGGCGAGGGCGAGGGCGAGGGCGAGGGCGAGGGCGAGGGCGAGGGCGAGGGCGAGGGCGAGGGCGAGGGCGAGGGCGAGGGCGAGGGCGAGGGCGAGGGCGAGGAGCGAGGGCGAGGGCGAGGGCGAGGGCGAGGGCGAGGGCGAGGGCGAGGGCGAGGGCGAGGGCGAGGGCGAGGGCGAGGGGCGAGGGCGAGGGCGAGGGCGAGGGCGAGGGCGAGGGCGAGGGCGAGGGCGAGGGCGAGGGCGAGGGCGAGGGCGAGGGCGAGGGGCGAGGGCGAGGGCGAGGGCGAGGGCGAGGGCGAGGGCGAGGGCGAGGGGCGAGGGCGAGGGCGAGGGCGAGGGCGAGGGCGAGGGCGAGGGCGAGGGCGAGGGCGAGGGGCGAGGGCGAGGGCGAGGGCGAGGGCGAGGGCGAGGGCGAGGGCGAGGGCGAGGGCGAGGGCGAGGGCGAGGGCGGGGCGAGGGCGAGGGCGAGAGAGAGAGAGAGAGAGAGAGAGAGAGAGAGAGAGAGAGAGAGAGAGAGAGAGAGAGAGAGAGAGAGAGAGAGAGAGAGAGAGAGAGAGAGAGAGAGAGAGAGAGAGAGAGAGAGCATTGCTATCTTTCGGCCATAGAGCACAACACCAAACAGCGGGCTCCTTGTCGGTTTGAGCTCTGGGGGCCCATTTCCCCAGCAGGGGCACGGCCGGGCCCGCGATTTATATCAGTCAGGTGCTCTGTAGCAATGAGGGGCTCCTGTATCATTCAGGGGCTCGCACTGCCAAACAAGGCATTCTGTGCTGACAGGTGGCCTCGAGTCAGACAGAGGAATACTTTCTCAACAGGTACAGGGATGGAACCCTGAATGACAGAAGCTTCTTTTGTTAGTTGGGGCCCTCTGACAAGATGCACTTGTGTTACACAAAGCCACAGAGACAAGATGCCACCAATGGAGACAGTGTCAGCCTGAGCCAGGACACTTGACTTAAAGTACTGGCAAATATCCATTAGGTTCCCGGGTAGTTCATAACTGGAACACACCTGTCTCCTGACTCTTCCTGAGGATAGTCAAACATTGTAAATTTGACAACCAAAACATTATGATTTCATGTAAGCATAGAGAGTTATACAAAACCATCAATCTGTCAGACTGGCAATCTGATTTTGGATTAGGATTAACTTCTTTGAACTTGGGTCAGGTAAGAAAGCTGGACCAAGGTCAAACCAAAATGTTATTTTGCTGAAGACATTCTTTCAAGAGGTAGTTTTTCATGTTCATTTCAAATTTGTGATCACAGGGACATCAACAGACATCCTATTTTAATTTCTTTCTTTCTGTGTGCTGAGATCTCAGTGGGATCAAACTGAAGTTTATCCAAGCATGTCACATTCAAACAGCCACCCAGGTTCATGTCAGCCTAGACTGGACACCCACTGGGTTTACATCAAGCACAATATCTCATATTGAGTTAAATGAAATAAGTCTGATGGTTCACAAATGGGAGTTTAAGTTAAAAAGAGACTGGGTACCACATGATCATCTTTAAGTGGCTTCTAAGGATATTGTAATGCAAACCAAGTGCCATAAAGATATCACAGAATACCAAACACACCTTTAGATCCAATTAGAGGTGAGCATATCCAAATCATTATTCACAGCTCTTGTTTTGGAATGAATGCTTGGGAATTCTTCCCAAACAATTCAGCAAATTTAACTATTGTAAAACACAGAAGGGTCAGATTGGCTAAAGCACTATAAATGGAGCAAACCATGTTCTCCCTGATTTTGACCTAGTTTTTTTCTCATAGTTGGGGAGGGGATGGCATCCTATCCAACCAGATATGAAACTACACACTTGTTCCCAAATTAAGTACATCTAGGTCAGTAAAGCCTAGGCAGGTATCACATTGCCCCAAAATATTTCCTCTGGGTGAGATTGTACCTGGGCTAGGAAGTAGCTGCATTAGCTACAATGCCCCAGATACTCCTATTTATGTTATGGCTTGCATGATATTTCAATCATAAACTTAAGCATTATATGCTCCAGGGAATGGTGCAACAGGTGCAGGGCATTTTAAGCATCTGCTTCTATCAGCCTTCAATGGGACTGACACCTTTACAATAGAATTATCAATATCAACTTCTTTTTATCAGCTGCATAGCTTAAAAAATACAGTAAGTGCAAGCATAGACTTATGGAATAAGTCCTTTCTTAGGAAACTAGAAAGTTTCAGAATTGCAAGCAGCCAATTTCTAATGGTCTTTGGCAATCACTGAGACCAGCTTGAGCATGGTGTCTACTGTCATCTGCTGCCAAAGTCCTTAAGTGCCAGCTGTGAATGCATCACAAATTCACTTGGGTTATTTTGTTCTAACTACAAGTTGTAATTTTAATACTTTTGTTCTCTTCCCCCAAGAGCCAAAACCAAATTTCAGATACTGTGACAAAGTGATTATTTCTCTGAAAATTTGTGACACTGAGTATAATTTGAAAACTCAGCACAACTTGGCCTGGCCTGCATTTAGATCATTCAGGCATGAGGTTCAGCATACCAATGTAACCAAAGCATCCGCCTCTACTGGTGAACTTTTGCAGACCAGCATACAGCCAGTTTGCAAAACATAATAAACTGACGAGGTCTTGTTGGGGCAGGATGGGGAAAAAACATTCAGTTGTGGCTGAAATTCAAGACGTCCGTGCGCTGCAATTTCGACCGTGATGCCGCTGCTGCGGCAGACGTGTTCGGCGTAGCATGTATTTTTGAAGTCTGGTCAGCAGGTGCACATGTCCACAAAATCTTGTCGAGTAATCCAGCTAAAACCCCTGGCTAGAAAAGATCAGCCCTGGACCCAAGCAGAGCAGTCGTCTGTCCTATATAGGGAAGGATCCGAGCTGCCTCCAATATTTCGTCGGCTGGTCTGACACCTTTCGTGCCCTGGCACGCAGGCAATATGCGCAACACACCCAACACAACTAAGAAAAAAAATCGAGAAAATTACTACACCCCCGCCCCATACACGATTTCGCTTCCATCAAAGTACCCAACCAGACCTCCACATATATATCACGCACCCAACTCGCCTTAGGATCTCACCTTCCCTGGCCGAGATATCACAATCCGGCGCACTGCCCTGCGCTCCGTCGTTTTCCGCAAGGCCGTGTAAGGAGGGTACGATCATCAAATTATTTCGGAGCTCCATCCGCTCAGCGTTAGCGTGACGTCACTGGAGCGCTCCCTCGGCAAGCGCCGAGCAGACCCCGTGCATTACGTAATCCTCCGAACGGCGTCATTGTTCGCCAGTTGGTTTCAGCACCTCGGTTTTGCACGTAACCTTTGGAGTGAAGAGCTATTCTTTTTGTATTTATGCCGACGTTGTCGCCAGATCTTGTCTATCACAAAGTGACCTCGGTGTGAATCAGAAAAAAACATGATCTAACCTGCGGATGAATCGTCTGCGCTAAAGCGGGATCTGTTAGCAATGGTGCCAATACCGTAAGACAGGCCCAAACAGTCAGAGTCACCGCTCTCGCGCCTTTGCCGTCACCGATTTTTGTGTCACTCACCCGCGCGTGCTAACGGCCCCCAAGCCAGGTCAGCCTCGGGTTCAAACCGTCCCGGATCCCGAATCTTGACTGTCTGGATCCTGGAGCTGAGCTTGGCCGTATAGCTTGTGATGTGTTAGTTGTGAACCACGATGGTTGGCGCGATGTTGCCGAAGCGGGTCTCAGGTGCACAATGTCGGGAGACGACTCCTGCTGTGACCTCTGCAGCCTCAATACCAAGCCCGGAGCACGCGTTCTAAGGTGGCCAGTGTTGCTTCAGTACGCTACCCTCACAGTTTAGCTCATGCATCCCAAGGTGGCCACTGAGGCCCCGGCTAGCTCTACAAACAGTCTAGATCATGTGTCCCTGGGTGGCCAATGTAGCCTCGGCAAGCTCAACAAACAGTTTAGATCATGAGTCCCAAGGTGGCCACTGATCGACCTCGGCAGGTTCAGACAGTCTGGGCCAGGCGTCACGCTGTGACCTCAGCAGGCGCTACAAAGATCCCAGGCCAGACGTCCAAAGGCGGCCGCTGTAGCCAAAGCAGACTTCAAACTCGGTTCACTTCATGCGTTCCAAGGTGCTATAGGTCTCAAAAAGGCACGCGTCTCAAGAAGGCCGTTGCCATCCCAGTGGATCCCACATATGGTGTCAGTTCCTGCGTTTTAAAGTGGCCGGAGCCCCACTCCTCCGCTGCTTCGGTTTCACTGTGACCAGAGGCCTCTACGTCTTGTCCTTCCCCAGTCTCATCACGGTGTGACTGCCAAGCGGGTCCATGCTGACACCGGGACCCCGGTGAACCCGGCTAGACAGCGGCCAGTCCAAGGGGTGGCACTGACAAAGGGGGTGACACAAAACAGGCACCCCAGGGGGCGACACTGTCGTCATGGCCAGCATAACTATAAATGACAAGCAAGCCAACTTACGCTTCACCACGAGCTGCTTGCGCCTCATCACCCCTGTCACAAAAGGACTGTGCGTAGGTTACCTGGAACTTAAAATGCATCGCATTGCAAATGTCGCAAACATCATGTGCGTGCAGAGGTCGCTGCAACAGTTGACCGAGCATCAGAGTGACCACGCCACCTGCACAGTGCGTGGCGTAATGCTCGCTGCGCCACGCCATCATGCAATCCGCGCTGATGGCATCGCGGGTTTTACAGTCGTGCGACGCTGGTCCGTGAGCAAGGGCCGCGCCAGCGTGATAGAAGCCTGCCGCACCAGCCGCGGGACGCAGGGACAGCAAAAGACACATGGGTCTCAGCGAGTAGTTTGGGCACTCATCACATCCTTCCAGAACGAAGATGCAGCATTCGATCGAGGAGGGCGGCAGCTGAGCTCATCAGCTCACCCGGAACCGCTCCATCGAGGTCGCCGGCACTGGACAACTCCCGCTCCGCCGGCGCACTAGACGCGAACGTCGGGGGTCAAAGTTCCGTCGCTGATACGCCAAACATCGCCTGCAGCGCAGCAGTCGCACAGATAGCGAATGGATACCGCCGGCGAGCCGCACTAAGCCAGCGGGACGTCAGTCTAAGCCAGCAGGAAGCCAGGCCCCGTCGGCAGGAATCACATACGCCGGTCATGCCACATATGTCAGCGCATGCCTACCTTGCAAGCCATTAAAAACATGACAGAAACGCCGCAACTTTACTTAACTCCTGAATCAAACTTTGAAACATTTAACACTGTGCTGTATGCGATATTTTCGTTGTGCTCTAACGACGAAGCCAGCGGCGCGGTGGGGCAGACCCAGGTGGCTCCAAAGACGTCATCGCCCTGCAATTTAGCCGCTCAATATCTTATCCATGGGAAATCACATAATGACACCCCCGATTCTGTGCAGCAAAGATTTCGTGACGTCACGCGCGGCACTATGTTAGCGTTTCAAGCACGGGAGAGGTGTGATGCGAAAGCGCCCGAAATCGTCTGTTAACTGCCATGGGATGTCTGTGGTGGACGACTTTCTTAGCATCTCACGGCAGGTACCAATAGTTGTCATATATCTTCGCTTGTTATAGTCATGCAAAATTGCTGATCCGTTTCTGCATGGTGGGCCCCTTCGTTCGGCATGGACATGCAGTGTGGGGCTCATGCTTGGGGATAGGGTTGTGATTTATATGGGGCGAATGTCCCAGACTTGTTTTGTGTTGTATTATTTTCTGTTGGTCATGCAATGATTACACGGCCACTCAGAATCGGCTTGGGCGCACTATGACCTTTGATGTCGACGCGCCCTGAGATCTCAAATTGCCGTCAGTGCTGGCTTCAGCCCCATAAGCATCGAGGAAAGAGTTACCTAGCACACGATGATCACCTCTGGCTATTCTTTGATGGTCATGATCATGACTATGTTGTCTATGACCATGACCATGTTGACATGCCTCTATTCCCGAAACGACGAGATATCGGGAGGATGATGAAAGAGAAACTGACATGTATCAAAATAACTTGGGCCAAATCCGTTGTTAACTACAAAGTTAGCAGTAGGTTGGAATGTTATGCCCTCGGCTCGATCTCTCCAACGATGTGGCTGGGGCAGTACCCATGTGGCGCACCATGCGGCGACTGCATTTGCCATACACGTGAGTTTCCAAGCTAGGTCGGCGCCTGACCTGTTACTGGGTAAACATGCCATAGTCCAACGGAGGCAAATGTCGTTAGGTGCTCGTGCTCTCGCCATTTCTCGTGGTGTTCTTGCATATTTACCCGTGAGTTTAAGGTGCTTGCCTGTATTCACATGCTCGGTCTACATCTTGAAATCGACAGGACCCACAGCTGCCCTTCCAGCGCGGCTCGTCCGCGCAAACGCCTCCCCCGACTGGTCCTGACTCATCGCTGGCTGGCTGGCTTACAGATAATGCGTTCCATCTGCTATGTACAGTAGGAAATGCGATGGGGGGATGCAATGGGAGCGATACTAAAAAAGAAACTATATATGGTGTGCTTGCGTGCCAGCGTGCGTGCGCGCGCGCGCGCACGCGCGCGCGTGTGTGTGTGTGTGTGTGTGTGTGTGTGTGTGTGTGCGGGTGTGTGTGTGTGTGAGCGCGCGCGCGCGCGCGTATGCACGTAGTATCAGCCAAAATGTCTCCGTCTCACAACGCCACACTGTTCCATATATGTATTTTCCGGTCACTCCGTCCAAGCGATCACATGGGCACCAACAGGAGAGAAAGCAACGTTAACACTGCCCTAATCACGCCGGCAACGTCGGGACATGGTTGGGCCTGACCGAGACCCTATCATACACGTCAGACACCTCTGCAACTTGACATGTACCCATAAATATACTGCAACGGTTTATAACGCCCATTTACCCACACGATCTACCGCGGGAGTAGGAGCGGTTTGGCCGCCAAGTTAGATATGTTGTAAAAAGTAAGACGCGCGCCGTCCACGCACATGCGCCATTAAAAACAGCGCCTTCGCCTGCGCACAAGGAAAGCAATCGTTATCACAACCCACTTCAGTACGATAGCCCGACTTAAGAACGCCTCGCGTTCAGCTGGTGACGCTGCGTGATACAAGTTGTGACCGTCAGCAGCCGCAAGACCCGCCACTGGCGCTCACCACGGGACCGTCATGAGCGACGTCTGTCACCTGCGCAACCAGTCGCATTACCCGCCGGGCTCTAACGTTCAGCGGAGCGCAGCGCCCGCCACCCATGCCGCACCACAGCCCCTGACTCACGCCCCACGCAGGGGCCTCGCCGCCCGCGCGGTGAGGCGGGGTCGCCAGCTGACCGGCGCCATCGTCCGTCGCCTGGGGCGGGGGCGGGGACGGGGGCCGGCGCCGGCAGCGACCCCAACTCCAGCTCAGTTCTCGGAGCCGCGGGACCGGCCGCGCTGGTAGCCCATGACGCCGGCCACCACGGTGCCAACGATGCCGGCCAGCGCCACTAGGCCGACGGCCACGCCCGTGTCCACCGATTCCTCCTCCTGCTGCTGTTGCTGCTGGGCGTAGGCGCCCGCATCTGGGGGGGGGGGGGGGGGGGCAGACAGGCGGCTGGTCAGCGGCAGTGGCGTGTGCTGCCGCCGTGTTGTAGGGGAACGACGGTACGGACGGTTCTACGGCCGCGGTAGAACACAGCGCTGCAGACGGGCATGCAAGACCGGCTGTCACATTCTTATGTTTAAGAGTCCTTATTGACGAAGCCACCACACCCACACCGAGCCAACCAGCATGGCGAGCCCCGAATAACCCGAGCCAGTTGGTGAAGAGGGCGCCGGGTGACCTGCGCCATCAACGTGACACTGCTGCCTCTCTTAGCAGTGGGTTAAAAATGTCAACTGTTGAAAACAAGCTGTGCGAGTATCGCAACGCCCATTTTCAAAGGCATGGACTCCCTTCCTAGCAGCTTATGCGTCACTCAGCCTTGCCATGCACTGGACATCGATATCTAACCGACACCGCGGGTCCGCCACCGCACCCGCGGCAGGCAACCGCGCCAGCCAGCGGCGGCGGCAGGCACTGACCGTGCCGGGGCGGCAGCGCCGGCCGGGCCGCCTGCTCCGGAGCGTCATTAGGCCGTGGGTTACACGGACACTTGAGCCGGTGCGCGGCCAGCACCTCGAGCGGCATCGTCTGATCGCAGCCTTCCGACTTGAAGTCGCAGGAGATTACCAGCCTGCGGACGGCACGGCGCGCCGTCAGCAGCCCGCTGCGGACATGGCCGCTCTGCCGGCTCGCGCGGCACGGGAGTCACGGCTGCCGCGGGACGTCGCGCTCAGATGGCTCAGGAGCCGTTGGGGGACCGCTGTGAGTCAGCGACCTGTTCTCAACGAGCGAGGGCTCTGACAGTCGGTGTAGAACAAAGCTAGTCACACCGGCATTGATCCATAGTTTTCAAACTAATCCGGCTGAGTGTTTGTGATGCAGAGGAAACGCACAACACTTGCAAATTAGTCGGCTGCATTGCTTCCTTCCTTGCTTTAAGAACGCCTCCTTATAAGGGCAGCTTGGTTGGGGACCGCAGGATCAGGCGGAGGCGGCCAGAGTGCGGCATAACACCGCCGGGCACACGCAGCCAGCCGCCGGCCCCACAGACCGCTGGTGGTCCAGCACACTCCGCCAGTCACGAGGCCCGGAACACCTGCTCAGCCGTGGTCAGCCGACGACGCTGGCCAGCCGCACGTACAGACACGTACAGACCCGTACAGACACGTGCCGTGAGGTGGCAATCTCAGCCATCTGCCATGACAACACGCCAATCCTGGTCCCTGGTGCAGATCACGTGGTCTCACCTGCCCAGCTGGTTGATGAGCATACGGCTCGGCTGGCACAGCTGATTTGCGTTGATATGCACACGGTCAAGGGGGCAGCGGCGACGAAATCTCAGCCACTCCTTTATGCACCGCTCACAAAAGCTGTGCTCACACGGCGTCTGGGAACAACAGAAAATAACAAGTTTTCAACGCCTATTAATGGATCAAACCAATGTCATGACGTCGTGCAACGAAATCAGCGACCATAGTACCTTCTGCCTTCTCCTTAAAACTATTCTCATCTCCCTCTTTGCCATCCCTACATTGAAAACAAGCAGTGCATATCCATAAAAATAGACCAACCCAATTCAGTCAGACCGCTAGGATCTTCTACAGGATACGATAAAGGTTTGGTGTCTACCTTGATGAAGACAATCACGTTAAGACCAGGAGAACATTTCCACACAAAGGGTAAATATAGGAAAATAAATATTGACTCGCCATGACAGTCGATGCCGTAGTGTTCTTTGGGCAGCATTTGGGCAGCATTTTGGGCTTTGGGCAGCAGCATTGGGCAGCCTCCTAGGCAGCATTGGAAGGGCGCACATGCTCCCTTATCGAATTGTTGCATCAATATCCATGTACAGCAATATGGGCAATTAGCAATTTAGAATGAGGTTCTTCTAACCAATACATATGTTTTCATATCCAGCAACGGATCTCTCAATCCTAAAAAAGGGTTTCTTATGCCAGAAAAGGGCTCTTCCATGCACAGAGGGGCCTCCTGGTTCAGGGCATGATCATTCTGATTCACAGAGGGAGCCACCAAATCCAGCAAAGGGCCTCGTTATCCCAACACGGGAAATTCTGATCCGGAAATATGGATATTTGATACGCAGGCCGTAACCACGCGGATGTATTGGCTCCTCGTGCATCCCCTGGGATGTCGGGCACTCGGCCTGGTTTTGTGCAGCCCTTGTACTAATGGTACAGGGGATTCACGATGATGGGATGGGACCGTTCCTTGCATTGAGATCTGTAACGACCGTAGCAGAAAAACATTGGGAGTCAGCACTTGGCTCATGCCAAGTTTGCTTCCACCTGCAAATTGTATCATTTGCCCCACTTGCGTTTTGAGGAATTGCTCACTTTTGCTGTGCTAGCAGAGATTTCATTTCCACCACATCATGCTTTCAAATTTTCATCAGGACTGGATGATAATGAAGCGGTTGAATTTTAAAGGGCACCTTTCGAATGTTTCGCGCTATGCACGCGGGTAGGATTACAATCGACATTCACACGTGATTTACGATGTCACGGATATTCGGTTATTGCTGTAAGGGGACAGTCGCGGGAACGAGGCCGGCTTCATCTTCAGCTTTGGCAAGCCGCAGTTTTCCTTCAATAGCTTCGGGTTCCGTTTTGGCTTTGACGACTGGCGTTGGTATTCTGCCCTTTTTAACACGCGCCCGGGTGGCCGGTTGGATACCCTTCGCTTGGGTGGGGATTAATTGCCCCCCCCCCCCCCCCGGAGATCTCAGGAACTAAGAGAGCTGGTGACACCAAATTCACAGGGAGTGTTGGCCAATACGTGAACTCACTTAGGACGAATTTTGATATTTCAGGGTCATGATCTTTGGGTCAAATAAGGTCAAGCAAGGTTTAACTCCGGGTTGGTCTTAAGAGTGCCGCCAATACCTAAATACCTGTTCTAAGCAAAAGGGCATACGTTTATTTAAGGTCAGTGACCTTGTTTGACCTTTCGAAGGTCATCGCCACCAAAATCATACAAGGCCGTTTCGAGTCTTGCATTTGAATAAGCGACACAGATTACGCTAGGCAGTATGTTCCTAAAAACATAATGTTGACCCGGGTCATTTTAGGTCCGTGACCCATTCTGAAGTTTTAAAAAGTTCATGGAAAATGCATAGTGCGGTTCCTATCATTCACTAACTCGAAATAAGCGCCAGAAGCTACTCCACGCAGCAAGCCCTCGAGTAATGAAGGAGGTTGCTTCTGACCTTGGTTTGACCTTCACACCTCGCCGCAGGTAAATGGGGTTTGTTCATTCAATGGTTGTGCTGCCTAAGAAGGTATCTCCGAGATGTATGACCCCGTCTAACACTCGGTTGTTGCATCAGATTGAACGATTCCCTGGGAATTGACTTCGCTGAATCGCTGGCCGGACTTTGATCTGCCGTAGGTCAGTTACTTTACAAGATCCGTCTAAACTTTTAATACGAAACGATCCGCTATCCAACTGTCTACAGCTATGCAAAATCTAGCGCGGCTACGCCGCGTCGTTCGGAAATTATTCCCGGAAACCTTCGAGAAGGGGGGGGGGGTCAAATTGACCCCCTCCCCCTACTCGAGCGCGTGTAAACACCAGGCTTAGACCTTGGTTTCAGACAATGTTTAAAGGGAATATTCCACATTCGCGAGACATAGAAGCGAGCACTAGCTATGACAAAATAAGCTCACTTACAATTATTGTTTTACCTCTAGGTGGAAAAGGCTGCTCTACACAACACAAGTTGATGAGGTCCCACCCCAGGCTGCGCGGGAATGCTTTTTCAGCTGTCAGCCATCTTTTAAAACCCATCAACCTGTCTCTCGCCAGCAAAATTTTCCCAGATAGCTGGAAGACGGCATGTGTCGTACCGGTTCCGAAGTCAGGCTATTCGGCTGTACCGTCCAACAATAGGCCGATATCTCTACTCGGTGCGCTCCCTAAGATCTAAGAAAAGGAAGCTTGCACACAGGTAACGAAATATTTGAACGCGACAGCGCTGCTGCATCCACCCCAGTATCCCTGCAGGTCACACCACTCGACCGAGGATGCCGTGCTCGCCGCAGTCGAACGCCTGGTCACCAACACCGACGACGGTCCTGTATGGTGTCGGCAACGACGATCGATTTGTCAAAGGCGCTTGATAGTGTCGACGACAACGTTCTCCTCACCAAGCTGTCTTGGTATGGCGTTACCGATGTGGGATGGTTCAGGAGGCATTTGAGTGGTCGAGAGCAGGTGGTGCGTGGAGGACGACTCACTCTCCCCACGTCCTGCGGTGTACCCCAGGGCTCGATCAGCGGCTCAACTTTGTTCATTTTGTTCAGCAACGATCTATATGGATACTTGACTCATGGCTGCCGCATCTCCTACGCAGACGACGCCATGCACGTGGACTGTGCCCCCCCCCCCCTCACCCCCGACGGACCGGGTCTCGTCGATCTCAAAGTGGGACTGAGACTTACCATGCGTGAGCTTTAGATCTGGTTCAATGCCAGTTCTCTCCAAATAAACGAAACAAAAACTAGCCGGGTCAAAACTAAGTTCTAAGTCAGCTGACTTCCACTTTAAAGTAAACGGTTGGACTGTGCAAGCCTCAAGTAGCATCCAAATTCTCGGCGTCACAGTTGACCCCGGTCCGTCACGGGGTGCCCATGTCTCGAGTGCCATAAACAAAATGCAATGGCATCCTCGTTTATCCCTATAAATTTCGTACTTGCTTTACTTCAGATCTTCCAAAATCATCATCCAGGCGTACGCATTCCCTCATATGACAAATTGCCTTTGCGTGTGGGGTGAGGCGAACAGAAGTCAACTACACAAAATTTTAAAAAATCAGCTTTGCTGTAAGAGCAATTGCCGGCTCCAAAAAGCACCATCATATAACTCCAGCTTTAAATAAAAAACAAAAATTAAATAAAAATATATCTTAAAAAAGTCACCATTTTGACCTCCAAAAACCACATAAACACTTTGGGGCATTGCAGCCAAGTCCAGGTACAGAAACTGCCGGGCAGATCGCTTTAAAACATTCGCCACAAAAAGAGCACATACAACTGCATCACCGTTCTGAAACTGGTGACTTCAGGTCGCCATCTGCACCTTAAAAAAACGCATAAACCACTTTAGGGCATTGCAGCCAAGCTAAAGCCACGAAATCGCTCAGCCGATCTGCCTGGAATATTTACCACAAGAACGAGCACATACGATTTTACTAGCCGTTCTAACACTGGTCATCTCAGGTTCCCGTCTTCACCTTCAAAAACTGCCCAAACCACTTTAGGACATTTTAGTCAAATCCAAGCACAGAAACTACTCAATAGATCTACCTGGAACCTTTACCTTAAGAAAGAACACAAATAATTACGTCAGCTGTTCTGAAAATGGTGACCCAAGGTCACCAAGGTGACCTCATGACATAATCTTCATCTTGGCTGCAATACCCAGTGGTTTATGCCGTTTTTAAAGGTGAAGACCTGAGGTCATCAGTTTTAAAACGGCTGGTGAAATCAGCCGTTTTAAAACTGCTTTCATCAGCGCGCACGCTTCTGTTTGGCAAAAACTACGAAATAGAAGTTTGCGCGGGAACAAGCCAAATAATGTTGTCTCTGTTGAACAGATCAAGACTAGGAATCCCCGCGCTTGATGTGCTTGGATAGAAGCTAAAAAATCCTGCAGAAGGGAAGAAGTCAGTCAAGTAAAATGCATTTTAAAGCATTCGTTGTTGTTTGTTTTTTAATACAGCGGAGCTCATTTTCAACAAAAAAATCATAGGTCTCTGAAAAATGAGACGACAGGGAACTTCATGGGCTTGATAATCCCGCGGGTACCCATATAGAAAGGGAGCGGTTGGGGTTTCTTCAAAATTTTAGAAATGACAGGTTAAGCCACGAGTATGGGTACTGACTTTACGAGGTACTATTTAGATGGCTCAAGTCAATACTCCACGTTATTACCGTTTACGCTTGTTTTCGTCATTATTAGCTCCATGCGCGTTGTTTTTCTCTTTATTAACGGAAAACAGAAGCTTGTACGTGCACTACATATTTCGTTTTCAATATTTGACCCCAACCCTTCGATAAGATGTACTTCTTACATCAGTATCCGCCCGGTCCTGCTCTCTAACGTCACCCGAACTTAGGCGCGGCTGCTGCCACATGTCACAGGGCATCCCAGTCAGATGTGAACGGCACACGTGAAAAGTGACTCAAATCAAGCTCGCCACTGCCAAATAAAAGGGGGCAGCGAACGCTCGAAACAGCCTCGTTATCGGGAAGGACGGAAACTTCCCTGAACCTTTCCATACTGTAAGAAGTTGCGTATGGCAAAACAAAATTAAACAGGTGGGTTAAGTGTAGGTGGTACTGATGAGGAGTGGGTAACGAGCTGGTGTAGGCGTCGGCTGGGGGACTTCACGGGTTGGGTAAACCCACAGATGCCCGCGTGATGGGGATAAGAGGGTGGGTTCGTGTGGATTTGGGGAAAAAATGTGTACTGGTATGAGTGACTTGACTAAAAATCGGACTGATCCTCTAGAAAATACTACACAACGTTACTGTTTGCATTTCATGAACAGATAATTAGCTCTATTTACACCACTTTTGCAATTCCTGATACAACAGAATACGGTCGGATGTCGCTGTTCCTGGAAGCTTTCCATAATGCATCACACTCAACACGTGGAAAAATGCAAACGAGTGGGTGACAGGTGGCACAGCTGGTCAGGACTGGTGAAGGGCCGAGAATGTGCACAGCCATATGGGCAAATGGTGCGCTGGGTTATCACCCGCGAAGTCATCTAGTGTGGGCACAGCCCAGAAGTGCCGGATAAATTTGGCAAAACCTTACCCGTGAATTCCTCCACTCTACATGTGCCTTGGCAGCGCCACATATCCTTTTCCTCCAAATTTCCCGGAATTTCGGCACCTAATCGAAAGTATTTCCAAAACTAAAATACATTTCTCAGGGTTTCAACTGTTATTTTTCGAGCATATGTACCAACAAATTGCACTCGCAATGTGTGTATCAATCAAAAACACTTCATCTAGTCAGGTTAGACATGCCAGCATTTTTTCTTTTCTGGTGGGCGTCTGAACACGACAAATAATGCAACCATCTGTACCAAATTCGTAAAAACAGTCCTCGCGATAACCATGCAAGCGAACGCCGTCCAATTTGGAAACGGACGCAAAGCTGTGGAGCCGGCAGAACCCCCGGCAGAACGCCGTCGCCACCCATGCTTACCAACAGTAATTACAGTGGAGAGCTTAATGCAAACATCCCTGGACCCATCGTGATCTGAACTAACGTGACCTTGTAAAAATGTAGGTGTGGCCGGGGATGGGCGCCAACAGTCACAGTGTCACATGAGCAGCGGTAACAAGGGCCAGTGTCTTCACAACCATGTTTTATCTCTGCATGCATTAGTGTTATTTTGGAATGTATGTAAAATTCGACACTTCAACTGACATAGAAGGCTTCCTAATCAGAGCGCATCAATGAAACTGGTGAAAGGAAGGCTGAAGATATAGGTGGATGTGCCACCATCCACATGATGGTGACACATACATATCTGTACCTCAAGTGTTCATACACTTCACAATCACATTGGTGGGGTTAGGGCTCACACAACAAACAATGCTTAGCAGGGGCACTTAAACACGAATCTATGCAACTGAAAGGCTCAACTGAAGCTAAAGCACACAACAAACAACTGGGTGCGGGAGTACTAAGCCCAAAATGTGGCTTTACTAACCTCAGCAGGATTTTCTAAAACACACATGCAGATTGAACAAATCAAGTCTTTATCAATGTCAGAAGACACAAATCTTGCTATTTCATAGCCCATCTCTTGCTTTTATCTCTGTCACCCTCTTTTCCTCTTCCACCACAAGTTTGTCTTGAGGCTCAGGTGCTTATCTGGCAAGAAAAATCCCAATTCAGCAGAAGTTAAACATGTGATCACACATTTGCAACAGCTGAGATTGAAATGGCAGCACTCAATTTCAACAGGATTATGAGTGTCTTTCAATAATTATGCATGAGCTGCCAAAACTGAGATGAGCTGTTTGGATAAATGGTATGATGCCTGCTTGGTGCATCGACACAAATGCTGGTTCTGTGTACCATTCATTGCACACTTTGCCTGACTTGGCTCTGCTGTAGGGCTATTTATACCAGAAAACTGCCCAAAAATAATCAGAGCTAGGGTTTAATTTTTCAGGTCCTTAACAGCATTAGCAAAACCATCAAAATTTTATGTCTTTCCATGCAGCCCAATTAATACTGCAAAACACCAGCAACCCACTTCCTGGAACGTAAAAAGAAAACTATGCATTGACCAAAAGGAGATTTAAAATTTAACTACCACCCAGGCAGAGGTGATACAAGAAACCAAATGTTGGAACCACATAGTTTAGCTGAAAAAACTGCTATTGTTAACTAAATAAAATGGGCCTGTTCCAGTCACTAATCTGACCTCCTCAAAGCTTCTTCAAATAAGACATGACAGTTGTAATAGCCTTATTCCCCACAGAAAAATCAGGAGAATGAAAAGGTTGACATGTTGACATTTTGGCAGCATGTCTTATCAAAACAACCAATTTTTGCCTGAACATCAACACAGCTTTATCCCAATTGTCCCAGTTTTTCTATGAGGACTAAGACTATTATTACTCTCTTACCTATATGTCTTATGTTCCTCACAAAGACCTCAAGCAACTGGTCCAAACTAATCTGATTATTTCAGCAGCCCCTCCAACCTACTACAAGATCCTCAAATCCTCTAGCAAGCACCCTCCAGCCTTCTCTGAAATAAAAGGAGGATGGATTTCCAGAGGGGTTTAGATGAGGCGGTCAGGGTGTACTTTCCTACCTAACATTAGAAAAAATCACTGTACACCATTTGTCGTGTTTAAGGCAGGACATACGTAAATAATCTCAAAACAGGTAGAATCATGCTCCTACCTTCAAATTTCAATAACTTTGATGGCGGGCCCCCCGAGCGCCGCACGCACCGCACCGCCTGGACTCCCCAGCGCCGTTTCTGTGTTGCCGTTGTGTAAATACAATATTTCTGCTTACCAAGAACAGGCTATGGTACACATCCGGGGCACAGTTCATTCATATGCTTTTTTGCCTCCATTTGTTGCCACAGAACAGGAACAGAGGATAGGAGTGCAAAATGATGTAAAAGGATTAATTTTGAGTCATTTCATAGTATTGATGTGCAAATTATTATAATTTACTATAAATATCTAGCTTTGAATGAATCTTTTTTTGAAAAACTCATCCATCAAGGTTATTTGCCTTCAGCACCCAAAAGCTGTTTGGTTAAGCTGTGTGCAGACAGCTGTTAACTATTTCAGCATCACCCCGTGCCAGTGCAGCAGATTTCAGAACTTCAACCTTCTCCAACTTTTTCTCATCCCGTTTTAAGATCAGTGATGGGAACAGACCCAGTGACTTTCACATGGCCCATTGGTTGTTACCCCATCTTCCCGTACCCTTTCACATCAAAGAGGTCCAAAAACTTTAAAACAGAAAACCATAGCAATGGGTTGACACTTTCCAGGCTGTCCCCCACAAACTCCAAGGTCCTTTGGAGTGCAGTCACCTGCTGGCTTACGCTGTTCACTCAGGGCAACCGAACACTGCTGGCGGTCTGGTCGGTGCTGCTCACTGCGCTTGGAAAAAAGACCGCGGGTATTCCCAACGATGGCCAAACACTGGGATGGACTAAACTGCTGAGTAAACCTGCTGTTATAGGACCTTGCTGTTAACAGCCCCATGCTCCGAGCCTATTGCACTGATTGACATTAAACCTTCACCATTCGATGCTGCTTGATCGATAACGTATTCTCAAAGAACATGGTGACCTTGGGTCAGTTCAAAGGTTACCAAAATGCAACAAACCGGAAAAATAGGTTTGCAGACAACCCCATGCCCCGAACCTATAGCACCAATTGTTATGAAACCTTCACCATTCGATGCGCCATAGTCGGTATGTTAATCTGTTAAGAACATGGCGGCCTTGGATCAGGTCAAATCTCACCAAAAACCGAAAAACCACCCAAATTGCCTGCATGCTCCTAGCCTATCCCAGCCAGCATTCCCAAATGGGACCCACATGGGCTAAACGTGGGGTAACTGGGTCAATGCGGGCATGGGCTACAGGTTGGCTTTTAGCTGGGCTCCAGCTGGGTCCCATATGGGACGCCCACATTGTTTCATATGTTTTATGCACCAGAACTGTTCGTGCCTTGTACTTTTCCGTTGGAATTTATCACGTCAAGAAGGAATAACTCAGCAGGAGGGAATGCTGGCATTGGTGGGATCCATGTGGGCCATATGTGGGTAAGCTGGGCTCATGTCAACTTGGGCTCCCGGTGGGCTGGTATCTAGGCTTAATCTGGGGCTCAGATGGGCTGCCCATATGTTACATGCGCAATCAAGTTGCCACACACACAATATTGATGTGTATACTAATCGTTTTGATTGTCTGGGTTTATCACATCGTGTACAATTATTCTAAATCATGGGACTGCTGCCTGGACTGGGGTCCGCATGGGCTAAGCACGGGCTAGCTGGGCTCATGTCCATGTAGGTCGCAGGCGGGCTGGTATGTAGGCTCCATCTGGTGCCCAGATGGGCTGCCCATACGCTACTATATTTGGTGCAGGCGCATTAGGCTTGTTACCTTATGCTCCCGCGATGGATCTTTCCTTATCATACACAAATGAGTACATAAAAAGGAGAGCAGCATGGGTTAGGTCTCATATGGGATGTATGTGGGTACGTTGGGCTCATGTCAACATGGGCCGCAGATGGGCTGGTCTTTGGGCTTCATGTTGGACCCAGATGGGCTGCCCACATGTTACACCGGAAGTAAATTTGTCGTGCACGCAATTATGCGTATATCAATTGTACTTATTGCTTTAAGGTTTTACCATATCGAGTATAATTATTTTGCATGTGCCACCTCCATGCCCACGTCCATGTAGAATGCGAGTGGGCTGATATTTGGTCTCCAACTGGGGCCCAGATAGACTGCCCATACGCTACGAAATTTGGTACAGATGCATTAGGTCTGCTACCTCGTGCTCCTACGTTGGATTTTTCCTTATCGTGTACAAATGAGCACATAACAAAGGAAAGCAGCACGAGTTGGGGTCCATATGGGATGCATGTGGGCAAGTCGGGCTCATGTCAACATGAGCTGCGGGTGGGCTGGTCTTCGGGCTTCGGGCTTCATGTTCATGTTCATGTCATGTCATTCCAGATAGGCTGCCTATATGTTGATATAGCTTATACCAATGCGTTCGTTTTCGGACTTTGCTGTCCATGGTTGGATATTTTCTCATTGCGTACAACCTAATTTTCAACAAGGGTGAGCGACATATACTCAGATCCAAACGCGCCGCAGGTGGGCATGCTGGCTACATGCCAGCATGGGATGCAAGCTGGCTGGTGCCTCGGCCCCATCTGGGACCCAGATTGGCTGCCCATATGCTATCATATCGACTATGTGCGGGATAATTTTCGTACTGTATGCTCCCTGGTTCGGTTTTACCATGTCACGTACCAATAAGGGGGACTGCTGGCATGGATCTCATCCGCATGGACTGCGCGGGCGAACTTAGCTCACATCAACACTGACCGATTCACTGCCATGTAACTTGAGGCAGTTGGTGTGTTCCGTGCTGGAAGTTTGTGCGCTGAGGGCATGGAGTGAGCCCTCCACTTACGTTTCACCCGTCGGTTGATCATTGCTCGCGTTTGGAGCTCCCCCGGTAATTACGGGTGTCCCGCTGGCCGGTCGCCCGCTGGGATCTCAGCAGTGGCGAGAGGGGGCTTCGCATGACCGGCCCGCTGACCGGCACCTCCGCGCCTCCTTCAGGGGCGCGAAGGTGCCGGTCAGCGGGCCGGCTGGCCAGGTGGGCCGGCAGCACCGAGCACTGGGCACTGAACAGTTGGCTTCCTGTCACTTTGAACCCGCGGCCCCATCTCCGGCAGTGGCCCATAGTCTGTCACGGGCTTTGTTTGAGAAAGCCCGAAGAGGGGCCGGAGGGCCTCTCGGGACTCAAGATCAACGGCTCGATTCGACTCGGGCCTGGCCCCCACCCGTATTGCCGTGACTTGAAATGTTAGAGGGCTTCTACTGTGCCCTCTTATTTGGATTTTCTATCCCTTTCATATAGGGCCTCGACACGAGGCCAAGCACTCGGCTCCAGGTCTATCTGAGCCGTTGAGATCATTTACCAAATAGGAACGAGGCTGGGGCCTGCGATTTGCAATGTTTGGGGTCCCTGATACAGCGAGGGGCTCCTGTATCGGCCAGGGGCCACAGTGCCTAACAGGGTCGTGCGGCGGCAAGTGGCCCGAACCGGCCACGGCCACACCACGGGTTTGCTCCATGAATCTCAATCTCCGTAAACGGCCCATCACTTTTGAAAACGCAGCAATTGTTGAGTATCCCAGTGGCATCACCATCATCGCGCATTTAAGGACTTCAGTACTTTTCAAAGCGCAGCAATTGTCCGGTGACGTCATAAACGATAAAGAAACATGCGCTTGGCTCTGACGTCATCATCAGCTGGCACGTGTATTCACTGAGCACATTCGCTTGAGAACGTGTGCAGTATGTTTGTCAACAGTACTCGCTGTGTGGGGTAGGGGCTGGGGGATGATGTCGTTATTTGTGTTATGCACAATACATAGGTGTATTTAGGGTAAAAACAGCATGTTTTTCTGAAATAATAGTCTTCAAATAACCTGTCGTCCAGTTTTCAGGAGAATGGTATGACTGGAACGTACTGTATTTGATGCCTGAAAAGTGAGCGACGTCTGCTGGGAGAAGGCTCGCCGGTGTTCCGTGCGGCGTGCATTGGCATAGGAGGCATAGGAGTGTTTTGTCGCCCTGGCTTAGGGCGGTAATGGTTGGCTTAGCAAGAGCATTGTGTTTTTTGTGGTTTGAAAACAGGGTCCTGCTGCTTGCAGAAATGGTATGCTCAGGACTTAACTGAAACTGATGCAAGAAACATGTTCAGAAATGGAAGGTTGATGACCAAGCTGGATGTAACCCAGCTGATAGCAAAAGGTGCAAGTTATGTACAGCATCCAGTTTCCAGACAGTTCCACCAAGAAGGCAGCTCACACCAGAATGCAGGTAATTTTTTACTTGGGTACCTGTATGGCCGACGGAGGGAAGAGCTACGCTAGCTGCAGGGTTTCGAGTATTGTCGCGCGGGGCAAAAGCTTTGAGGCATCAGCTAACATTGTGACGTCACTGAAAATGGTTTTGCATCGATCGGGATCGGGGTTCTTTCGGGCCGACTGAAGGCCATAAGGCTTTTGCTTGTGATATGATGTCACTGGTATTCGGCTGGGTATGTGACGTCACTGGTCGTGAGTATGTAAGGCTCTTTTGGGTCCACTGAATGCCGTAATGCATCAGCTGGCCATGTGTCGTCACTGGTATTCGATTGAACATCAGGCGCGGCCGGCCTCGTTCCATCTTTACTTTTCGTACCTGTCTGCTGCAAGCATTTGCGTGCCGCATAAAGGTTTGACCGAATTACCCCAATGTGTGACATCCCTAATCATCACTTCATACGAGTGCACTTAGGCCCCACGACCACGGTGTGTCGTGGTCCGCGAAGTATCACCGGATAGCGTGACGTCACTGGTATTCGAATAAATACTGGGCGCAACAGGCCGTGCTTCATTTTTACCTTTGTACTTGTCTACTGCAAGCATTGGCGTGCTGGATGAAAGCTGCCGAACCACCTGAGTGTGTGACATCACTGGCCATGAGTTCCAACGGTGCTTTTCGGCCAACTGAAGACCACAAGGTGTCAGCTAGCGACGTCACTGCTATACGACTGTAAGACGTCAATGGCCGTGGGTTTCCACGGGCCCTATAGGACCGACGAAATGCCGTTAGGCATCAGCTGGCGACAATGACGTCACTGGTATTTGGCTGAACATCAGGCAACAGGTCATGCTCCATTTATACCTTTCGTACATGTCTACTGCAAGTATTGGCGGATTTTTTGTGCGGCCAACTAAAGACCATAAAGCATCAGCTAACGATGTGACGTCGCTGGCACTCGACTTTGCGTGTCGCTGGTCATGAGGTTTTACGGCCTCTTTTGGGCCGACGAAAGGTCATACGGCAATGACTGAAGATGTGACGTCACTGGTATTCGAATGAACTTCGGGCGCGACAGACCATGTTCCACCTTTATCTTTGGTACCTGTCCATTGCAAGCATTGCCGTGGAAGGCTCTGCCAAATTACCTGAGTGTGTACGTCACTGACCATTAATTTGCACACTCTTTTGAGCCTACTATAGGCCACAAGGCATCAGCTGACGATATGATGTCACTGGGTTTCGACTAGACATCATGCGCAACAGGCCATGCTCCATCTAAGCCATGTTTCGTCTGTACCTTTCGCACCTATCTACAGCAAGTATTCGCGCGACACAGGGGCTCTGCCGAATTACCTGAGCGTGTGGTGTAACTAGTTATGAGTTAACGCGGGTTTACTCTGGCTGAATGAAGGACATCAAGCATCAGCTGACGATATGACGTCACTGGTATTCGACTAAACTCCAGGCGCGACAGGCCATGTTCCATCTTAACCTTTCGTACCTGTCTCTTGGAAGTATGGGCGTGCTGAATGAGGGCTCTGTCGAGTCTCCTGAGTAAGTAACGTCACTGGTCAAGAGCTTTTTACGGGACCTTTTGTACCCCCAAACGGTATAATGCATCAGCTGATGATATGACGTCACTGGTGTCCGACTTAACATCAGGCGCGACAGGCCATGTTCTATCTTTACCTTTCGTACCCGTCTATTACAAGTATTGACGTGCTGAATGAAGGCTCTGTCGAGTCTCCTGGGTGTGTAACGTTACTGGTCATGAGTTTTTTTCTGGCTCCTTGGAACCCTCTATAGGGAAAAATGCATCAGTTGACGACATGATGTCAGTGGTGTTCGACTTAACATGAGGCGTAACAGGTCATGTTCCATCTTTGCCTTTCGTACCTGTAAAGTATTGGTGCGTTAAATGATGGCTCTGCCGAGTCACCTGAGTGTGCGACGTCACTGGTCATGAATTTTTACCAACTATTTTTGACTGAGCGAAAGCCATAAGGCATCAGCTAACGAAATGACGTCACTGGTAATCCACTGAGTGTATGACGTCACTGGTCATGAGCTTTTACGGGCCTTTTTTGGCCGAGTTCAGGTCATTAGGCATCAGACAACGTTATGGCGTCACTTGTTTTCGAATTAACATCAGTTGCAATAAGCCATGTTTCATCTTTACCTTTCGCACCTGCCTACTGCAAGTATTCGTGCGCTACAAAAAGGCTCTGTCGATTCGCATGAGCGTGTGGTGTAACTGGCCATGAGTTTGTGCAGGTTTACTCGGGCTGACTGGCGGACATCAAGCATCAGCTGACGATATGACGTCACTGGTAATCGACTAAACTCCAGACGAATCATCTGAGTGGGTGACGTCGCTGGTTCATGACTTCATACGGATTCACTTGGGCCGCCCAAGGCCACAAAGCAACACCTCCCGTGAAGCATCACAGGATGATATGTCGTCACTGTTATTCGACTTAACATCAGGTCCAACATGCCACGTACTTTCTTTACCTTTTGTACTTGTTTATTAAAGGTATTGACGTGCTGAATGAAGGCTCCGTCGAATCTCCTGAGTGTGTGACGTCACTGGTCACGAGTTTTACGGGCTCCTTTGAACCCATTTAGGTTATAATGCATCAGCTGACGACATGACGTTACTGGTGCTCGACTAAACATCAGGCGCAACAGGTCATGCTCCATATTTGCCTTTCGTACCTGGCTGCTGCAAATATTCGCGTGCTATATGAAGGCTCCGCCGAATCACCTGAGTATGTGACGTCACTGATCATCAGTTGGTAGGAGGTCACTTGGCCACCTACGGCTACGGAGTTCCGCAGCAGAGGTGGGAGATGCACCATAGTTAAGCACACTAATTTTATTGTGCGCACCATTAAGTAAAAACTTCAAACGCAACGGGCTGTTTCAACGACTAAAATTTTGAACAAACGTAAACACAAAACAAAGGTGATCCCAGCCCACAAACCGTATATGCAAAGCTATTCCGCCCGGCATCACAGGATGCGCCCCTGAGCAGCTGCGGTCCGGAATGCCCTGATGGCTAAATAATAATCAAGGGCGCCGCCTAGCGGCCATAAGTCTGGGCCACAGCCCGAATATCAGTGACGTCATATGGTCAGGTGATGCTTGATGTCCTTCAGTCAGCCCGAGTAAGCCCGCGTAAACTCATGACCAGTTACACCACATGCTCAGGTGATTCGGCAGAGCCTTTATGTAGCGCGCGAATACTTGCAGTATAGAGGTGCGAAAGGCAAAGATGGAACATGGCCTGTTGCGCCTGAGATTAAGTCAAATACCAGTGATGTCATATCGTCAACTGATGTCTTGTACCCTATAGGTACAAAAAAGCAGCCCGTAAAGAACTCATGACCAGTGACGTTACACACTCAGGAGATTTCACAGAGCTTTCCTTAAGCATGTCAATGCTTACAATAGACAGGTACGAAAGGTAAAGACGAACATGGCCTGTCGCGCCTGGTGTTAAGTTGTATACCAGTGACGTCACATCGCCAGATGATGCTTGATGTCCTTTAGTCAGCCCGAGTAAACCCGCGTGAACTCATAACCAGTCACACCACACGCTCAGGTGATTGGGCAGAGCTTTTATGTGGCGCGCGAATACTTGCAGTAGATAGGTGCGGAAGGTAAAGATGAAACATGACATGTTGTATCTGATGCTTAATTGAATACCAGTGACGTCATATCGTTACCTGATGCCTAATGGCCTTAAGTCGGCCCAAAAAGGCGCGGGAAAACTCATGACCAATGGCGTCACACACTTAGTGGATTACCAGTGACGACATATCGTTAGATGATGCCTAATGGCTTTCACTCGGCCAACAATAGCCTGTAAAAACTCATGACGCACTCAGGTGATTCGGCAGAGCCATCATTAGGCTCGCCAATACTTTAACAGGTGCGAAACGCAAAGATGGAACATGACATGTTGTGCCTGATGTTAAGTCGAACACCAGTGACATCATATCGTCAACTGAAGCATTATACCATATAGGGGGTTGAAAAGAGCCCGTAAGAACTCTTAACCAATGATGTGGTATAACACGCGAATGCTTGCAGTAGACAGGTACGAAAGGTAAAGATGGAACATGGCCTGTTGCGCCTGATGTTGAGTCGAATACCAGTGACGTCATATCATCCCGCGATGCTTTACAGGATATGATGCTTTGTTGCATTGGGCTGCCCAAGTGAACCTGTATAAACTCATGACCAGTGACGTCACGCACTCAGACGGTTCAGCATCACCTTGATATAGCACGCGAATGCTTGCAGTAAACAGGTACGAAAGGCAAAGATAGAGCATGGCCTGTTGCGCATGACACCTAGACGAAAACCGGTGACGTCACATGGCCAGCTGATGTGGTATGGCTTACAGTGGGTTCAAAACAGTCTTTACAAATTAATGGTTAGTGACGTTACACACTCAGGTAATTCGGCAGACCCTTCCTTCAGCATTCAAATACTTGCAATGGACAGGTACCAAAGGTAAAGATGGAGCATGGCCATGGCCGCCTGAATTGTATTCGGATACCAGTGACGGCACATCTTCAGTTAATGTCGTATGACCTTTCGTCGGCCCAAAAGAGGCCGTAAAATCTGATCACAAGCGACATCACACACAGTCGAATGCCAGTGACGTCACATCATTAGGTTATGCTTTACGGCCCTCGGTTGGCCCCCAAAGATCCATAAAAATGCATGACCAGTGACGTCACACACTCACGTGATTTGGTAGCTTTTATTCATCACGCCAGTGCTTGCAGTAGACAGGTACGAAGCTAAAAATGAACCTTGACCTGTTGCGACCAATATTTAGTCAAATATCACTGACGTCACGATACCCAGTGATATTTCACGGAACATGATACACCGCGGCTGTGGGGCCTAAGTGCACTCGTATCAAGTGATGATTGGAGACGTCACACATTCAGGTGATTCGGTCAAGCTTTTATTCGGCACGCAAATGCTTGCAGCAGACAGGTACGAAAGGTAAAGATGGAATAAGGCCCGTTGCGCCTGATGTTTCATTGAATACCAGCGACGACATATCGTCAGGTGATGCTTTACGGCATTCATTGCACCCAAAAGAGCCCTAAAGCCTCACCACCAGTGACGTCACATATCCAGTCGAATACCAGTGACATCATATCGCTAGCAAATGCCTTGTAGCCTTCAGTCGGCCCAAAAGAACCCCGATCGATGCAAACCCATTTTCAGTGACGTCACTACGTCGGCTGATACCTAACAGCATTTCTCCATCATGGCAGTACAGAAACCCTGCAGCCAGCGTAGCTCTCTCCCCACCGTCGGCAATACAGGTACCCAAGTAAAAAAAAGCCAGAATGCAGAGGAAGGAAACAATTTTGCCTCTGACAGTCATGCCTATGACACTCACATCCACTCATCACCACTGCAGAAGATGTTGCTGGGTGTTGGCTCCTCAATTCTTGGACTGTTGGATCCAACAAGAGCAGGTGAGAATAAGAAATACTTCTGGTGGCATGGATGTGTATTGCTTATCTTATGCATTATTCAACATTGCATGAAAAGTGTGTCCCTTATCATGTGCATCTCTACCACATGTTTCCAAGGCAGGCATAGCCGTCAACTCCCAACATTTAAGTCTCAGTCCTTATCCTGGTGCCCTAGCTGCACAGTTTGAGCCCAGTGTCCACCATTAGTATGCCATTAAACCAGTGAAGTGCGTATCCCAAATTTTGGCACTGAGTCCAGGGCAATCACTTAAAATACTTTTGGTGGCCTGAGCCCCTCCAGTGCTGCTCTGAGCTCACTTGATGCATGTGAGCAGAAGGAATACTAGGCTGAATAGGTATATAATAATTGTCTTAACTGCTGGCATGCAAGGTAGCAGGTAGTGCAAGACATATTTGTCACAAAATTATGGCTATGATGGTCACAACCTAAGCAGTTATAGCAGTAGTCATCAGGAATTTATAACCAAGGTTTGCAAGGATGCTTTTCTGTGAAAAACATTCCATTCTAAGCTTTTTACTCAAAGTTAGCTCACATTTGAAATGGGAAGCAACTTTTTTAACAGGAAATCATTTTAAATGTACAAAATGCAATTTTGTATCATTTCAACTTCAAATTCAAGTGATGAAAATCAGGGGAGAAATCTGGTCTCCCTTAAATGTGACCGCAGTTGTGGAGGTCATGGCCACAGTTGCAGCCAAAGTCTAGCTTTTATATTCTTTGTGAAGCATCAACAAATTTGGTCCATTTGATAGGAAATAGCAAGTTTGATAATCAAGGACCTGATATGTACAAGGCATGTGCTTCGTGCAGAAATACTCAGGAAAGCATTAAAAGGGATGATGATGGCCGTGGTGATGGTATGTCGCCTTGTAGTGATAATTGTGGCCAAAGTCTACCTTTCAAACCAACACTTGAAATTGAACAAAAAATGACACCAACACAATTGCCACATTCCAGCATCAGTTAAGAATAGTTTCAAGTCAACTGAGCAAGAGGTGTATCATTCAATTTTGCCTGCTGAAAACCTGCAATTAGCACTTCTCAAGATATGTGCCTGCAGAAAGTGTGCTGGGCCAGGCTGCGCAGGTTGAAAATGGTCTGGTAACTTAACTAAACTCAGGTCACAGCTGCCCTCATGAAATCATATATAAAGAGACAAGTTTGTTATTAAGAAAAAAAGTTTGACACTTTATTTAACAAAAGATGACTTGACTGGTAGGGGTCACTTATTGTGCCTCCTGACTTCACACTTCATATCAGAGTCTAAACATTTAGTTGTGTGTGTGTTGTGTGACCCAGGTTAAGACAACAACAATATCGGACTCAGAAACTGAACAATAGGCCAGAAATCTGGAGGTATGTAGGAAGAAGTGTTCTTGTTGGTAGCAGAGCAGCCCATTATGTGATCATCTGTTACAGATTTGGTAGCTGTGTCAGGAGAGACAACAGGAGCTATTGTTCTTCCATGTCTCCTGAGAAAGATGCAGGAAGATCCAGAGGGGCAGGATATTCTGAGGTATGCTGAGGGCTCCAACATAGCCATGCTGTTTCTATTAAGCCATGCAACTGCCCTCTGAGAGAGAGGAGTAGATGTGTCATATGGGCCCACCTGGGTTTCATACATTTGTTGCCTGCATCAGGCATGTAGTTTCCCATTCAGTTGGAGGGCTTTACCTACCCCAATTTGGGCTTTAGCCCTTGCCCCCCCCCCCCCCCCCCCCTCCACCCCCGCGATATTTTTGAGAAGAGTGTAGACCAAATGTGGGAAAAACCGTTGTTGATGTATTTTAGAGGTAGATATTTTCATGTTTTACTGCTCAGCCCCCCCCCCCCCCACCCACCTCATTTTACGAAAGTACGCTCCTGGCTTCCACGATGGTAAAGATGCCATGATGGCACAGATAGCACAGTGGCTTCTGGCTGTTGTCGGTGCCAAAACGTCAGATCCAAACGCGAGCGAGCGAGTTCAGATCCAAATGCGAGTGGGCAACGTCAGATCCAAACACGAGCGGGCGACATCAGATTCAAACACGAGCGAGCAGCGTCAGATCCAAACGCGAGCGGGCAGCGTCACATTCTAACGTGAGCAAGCAACGTCAGATCCGAACGCGAGCGACCGACACGTTAAGAAGTGTTGGAGCTTAACCATTTTTGTTTTCAAAGCGATTGAGACATCGACCTTTGGCACACCAAGCTCAGGCCTCACCATAGAAATATCGATAGCTCCGCTATTTGGTTGATATCAGTCATGCGTAAGTGCCAACCCTTCCATGTGTTTCATGTGGATGTACTGTTATGGTTACAAACTATGGAAGCCCAAATCGGCTCTTGGCTTCATGTTCAACGAATCTTTTTTTCTTCTACAACATTCGTGTAGCGTCAGTCATACCATTACCTCAAATTTTGCTCATCTCCAGCTGTCCGAAAAATATCCTTGAATTAACCAATGACATTTACTATAAGTGTTGACTATTTTAATTGCGGTCAGAACTGTGCAATGCACATATAGTGTGTGGTCAGCGATGGATAAAATTATAGGGATGCGTGCCTCATATCATTGCTGTGGTCAGTCGCAGAAAATCAAAATGGATATCAAGGTGGCACGGACTCGCTGCGTCCTACCCATCTTATCATATTATCATCTGCACAATTGACACTTGATCGCATCTGAGCGGAGTCACAGAGTGTCACAAAATATGTTGGTTGCTATCGGCCACAGAAAGACCTGATCGTCCCAAGGCTATATGTTAAAATTCGTTGCCCTGGATCAACGTTCAGCGCCCCCGGGCTCTTGGACGCCACCCTACTTGTCGAGAGCAATCTCCAGTCCCGCTCCAGCCGCAAGATCTGCCGCCCGTGGCAGATGATAATAGTCAAGATATGTTAATGTGCAAATGTGACCTGATCACATCTGCCACGGGGCGGCAGATCATGTGGCGGGAGCGGGGCTGGAGATTGCTCTCCAAAAGTAGGTTGGGGCCCAACAGCCCGAGGGCGCGGAACGTTGGGCCCAGTCCAGCGTAAAAGGTCCCTTGCCTTCCCAAAATATTTTATTACCTCGGTTTGGGAACACTTTCTGAGAAGTCCTTTGATCACGATTCTTAAGAAAAGCAGGTGGAGGTTTGTGTGAGCACCAGTATGCAGACCGAAGGGTTGAACTACTCAACTGTGAAAGTCTATGACATTTTGACGAACTACGCGACAAACTTCGGCGCGAGGTTTGTCTGCCATTCAAACAATGGCGTGACATTTTATTTCCACTATACACCTCTTTTGATGCAGAAGCCCACCGTGTCACGCGACGCAGATTTCTATCTTTTTTTTCTCTTTTTTTGTTTAACTCAAGGGCCTCCTGCCTTTTGAACATTAGCCCCTGGCATGTGAAAGAAGCTGAGGCGCGGAAAGACAAAATGGATGCGAATAGACAGGGATGATAAGAACAGGGCTAATTAAATTTATATTAAACCGAAGGACAAAAAGCTGACAATGTAAAAGCCGAATCGAAAATAAGTCGAAAGGAGCGCACTATTTGGATTCACCTCTGGAGTGGGTGCTATAATCTCCGGCATGTGTTTGATTTGGCGTCAGTCAAATCATTAAGCTCCTCCTGTGTTGAATCCCCTGACTGCCCGCTTGTTGATCCGCGTGGAAAACAACGTTTATCCTGATTATTTTGTTTTGTCCGTGAAACTGCTGTCGGATCTTTCTTTTCGCTCTTTTTACTTTTATGCCATACAGGTTTTCCTATTCGAGTTTATAGTGGTCGACTTGTACTTTGAAGTGTTTTCAGGTCTGTCACTGCGGACTTTTGTCCCTTCGACTGTTCGATTGAACTTTTGTTTACCCCTGTTGACCTGTATCCCCTTTGACTTTTGTCCTTTGCGCTTTCGCCGATTTGACTGACATCCCTGTCGACCTTATTTCGACTCAACTTCTTGTCCTTTAACGTCTTCTGGCTGTTCATTTGTCTTCATCACCACTATGTTTCTCGGATTTTTTCGTCGAATTGCTTTTGTTCGACTTTTTCCATTCGTTTCTGTTTACTCAACTGTTTTCCTGAATGTCATTAGTATGGCCATGCGCATTCCCCCGTTATTTGCAACATGAATGAAGTCGGAATAGGCACCGCTTGTCGAAGGCCAGCATCGATTAATTTAAGGATTTATCAGTGTTTTGTACGACCGCAATTTGGTAAGAATATGCCTCTATGGGTACAATCGGCAAAATAATGTGATGTCATGCATGGCGTCTATAACGCAAACAAGTCACGAATTAGTAAAGTCCTTTAAAAAATCACGTAAATGGCAATGCAAATACACAACAAACATTAATGCACTACTAGACAGCGATGACCTCAATCGCGTGTTGATCATAATTTCGAACAAACCGCACAGATTGAATGGCATAAAGCTTGCGGTACGAAAATTGACGCCGTACAGCTGAAAGTCGAGGCGGTTGGGTATATCACTGAGTGACCCGGGCAGCCCCATGCAGAGGGAGTTTTAGCTCGGCGCAATGCCGCGTGTCTGGTTGGCACATGACGTGTTTCGCAGCCGGTCAGCTGCGCCTAGCACGGCCCGGGGCGTGGCCTGCGTTGACGTTGTCCCGCGGCGGTGGCGGCAGGGAGCGGCCTGTCATCAACTCACGCTCCGTGGACCTGGAGGGCCTGGCGCGCCTGCCGGACGGCACGCTCGGACGCGAGTACGTCCGCTTCCTGCAGGACCAGGTGGGACATGGCGCCAGAGCACTGCGGCGCACTGCCGCGGCGCGTGGGCACCACGGGATGTAGAGTCGTCGCAGGACGGCTCCGCTCAGTGGATCTGTGCAGGCCTGGAACTGATGGAAACGTCGTGTTTTTTTTTTCTCGCGGAAAGCGACGTCCTATTCTGCGGGGCGGACGTTTACACTCTGGGGATTTTCATTATCAACATGATATGTAGAATATCTGCAGCTGTCAGCGGGGACACAAACAGTTTGGAGTAGCCAAGCCCGTCATGGGACATTGACAAATATTCAAGTTACTTTTTGTCAACCTTGTCTCGCGCTGGAAGGACTTGTCATCGTTTCACACGCGTCCCATTCCTTCTTGTTGCCTGGCAGTGCTTTGTCGCCATCACGGTAATAGTTGAACGCGCATTTGTCCGTGCTCTTCCCACGTAAGCTGTCCATCGAGATTTTTGGTGCGGGTTCCTGACGCCGTCTGTGCCTCCTCCGTGTCTAGTCCCCTGCAGCCCGGCTGAGCGTCTCGTCCCGACGCGCGGTGCGGTGTCTGTAGGGCCGGTGTGTGACGCTCGTCTGCCTCCGCAGCGTGTGACGCCCGTCTTCCCCGCAGTGCGTGACGCCCGTCCGCTGCCGCAGCGTGTGACGCCCTCCACCCCCGCAGCGTGTGACGCCCTCCACCCCCGCAGCGTGTGACACCCATCCGCCCCCGCAGCGTGTGACGCCCTCCACCCCCGCAGCGTGTGACGCCCTCCACCCCCGCAGCGTGTGACGCCCTCCACCCCCGCAGCGTGTGACGCCGTCCACCCCCGCAGCGTGTGACGCCCTCCACCCCCGCAGCGTGTGACACCCGTCCGCCCCCGCAGCGTGTGACGCCGTCCACCCCCGCAGCGTGTGACGCCCTCCACCCCCGCAGCGTGTGACGCCGTCCACCCCCGCAGCGTGTGACGCCCTCCACCCCCGCAGCGTGTGACGCCCTCCACCCCCGCAGCGTGTGACGCCCGATAGCCGGGACCCGGTGCGCTTCGTGGACGACGCGGACCAGGCGTACGTGATGCAGCGGTACCGCGAGTCGCACGACCTCGTGCACACCCTGCTGGGCATGCCCACCAGCCTGCTGGGTGAGTGGGCCGGCGGGCGCGTCGCCAGACATCGACACGGTCCGCCAGAGTTGGGTCCATGTCTGGCGACGCTCATCACCACACCTGGCTCTCGCTGGCGTCGGATCGCTTCTTGTCCGGGTCTCTTCGGACGGCTGGTGTTTCCCCCCGGGTCGATGTCACAATGGTGGCACGCGTAGTGAAGAAGGCGGTGCGCCCTCGCCCCTCTCAGTTGTTTGGGCTTAGGGCGCGTGGGCGTCAATAGTCATTTTGTGACCTCACAACATTGAACGCGTTGTGCTGCTGCGGCTGTGTGGTGTGGAGGTGATGGACGTTACACGATCGGCCGATACGCGGTTGATACGCTGACAAATCGATACGTTCAGCTCTGTCTGTGTCTCCCGCGCAGTAATGGACGGGGTAGTTTCCGTCACCAATGACCGAAGCGGGTGAAGTCATCGCAAAATGACCGGAGGCATCATCACACAAACTTGCCATTGCTTCCGTCGTCGTACGGTGTGACGCGCTGGGCTGTTTTCCTGTGGCCGGACGCGCGACTCTGCCGGCAGAGGGTCGCCTCTGCCGGCGGCGGGGCGCGCGCCGGTGCCGACGCGCCCGTCCCCGCACAGAGCGCACCACCGACTGACAGCCGCCGCCCGGCAGGCGAGGTGACCGTCAAGTGGGTGGAAGGCCTGCAAACGGGACTGCCCATGTGCATCGGAGGCGGCCTGCTGGCGCCGCTGCGGCTCAAGCCCAAGTACGTGACGCCGGGGTGGCGCGACCGCCGCCTGTCGCTCGCTGGCAGGCGTCCGTGACCACGCGCGCGTCAGAGGTCGGCTCCACCGGCTCGGACAGACTAGGTGTCGCTGGTGCGCCACTCGGCCCCCCCGCTGCTGCTGGGGTGTCAAGTTCAGATCTCTGGCCAGAGCTCGGAGCTCAGACCTGTCTTGCAAAGGAACTGATGCCTGGTCTCGTTCACTCCTTGTCTGGACGCACGGAGTCCGCCAGACGCTTTGTGTCGGGCAGGCATCGCCAGGTCTTCCGGACAGCGAGTGTACGCAGCCGAACTCGCTCCAGATGGGTGTGTGTCTGGCAGACGTCAGTGTTACCTGCCAGAGTGCGTGCCGAAGGTGGATGTAGCTTCGCTGTGTGTCGACTGTACTGGACTATGTGCTGAACTACACTGGACCTCGCTATCTGCTGGACTGTACTGGGCTTCGCTGTGTTGATCAGACTGGACTTCGCTATGTGGTAGACTGTACTGGACTTCGCCATCTGTTAGACTGTACTGGGCTTCACCATGTGTTGACTGTCTTGGACTTCGCTATGTGGTAGACCGTACTGGACTTCGCTATGTGGTAGACCGTACTGGACTTCGCTATGTGGTAGACCGTACTGGACTTCGCTATGTGGTAGACCGTACTGGACTTCGCTATGTGGTAGACCGTACTGGACTTCGCCATGTGGTAGACCGTACTGGACTTCGCCATGTGGTAGACCGTACTGGACTTCGCTATGTGGTAGACCGTATTGGACTTCGCCACCTGTTAGCCTGTGTTGGGCTTCGCTATGTGTTGACTGCACTGGACTTCGTTATGTGGTAGACCGCACTGGACTTCGCTATGTGGTAGACCGTACTGGACTTCGCTATGTGGTAGACCGTACTGGACTTCGCTATGTGGTAGACCGTACTGGACTTCGCTATGTGGTAGACCGTACTGGATTTCGCCATGTGGTAGACCGTACTGGACTTCGCTATGTGGTAGACCGTATTGGACTTCGCCACCTGTTAGCCTGTGTTGGGCTTCACTATGTGTTGACTGCACTGGACTTCGTTATGTGGTAGACCGCACTGGACTTCGCCATCTGCTGGACTGTACGGGGCTTCGCTATGTGTTGATAAGACTGGGCTTCACCATGTGGTGGACCGTGCTGGGCTTCGCTATGTGTTGGAGTGTACTGGACTTCGCTATGTGGTAGACCGCCCTGGACCGGTTGTGCACCTTGCCTGATTTTGACTGACTGCCTGGGGCGCATACGACAAACATCTTAGACAGATGCTTTGCCATTGGGGATTTACGACGCATTCAGCTGCAGGTGTTTTGGTGTCGCGCGATCCTTACCCTGACAGGAGTGACTGTTGCCGCGGGGATTTGAAGGGCGTTCCTTTGGTTATCCAGACAAGCAGCGTAACCGCTACACTAACCGTACCTTAACGTATTTTACACTACTGGTACTCCTTCGACAGATGTACATATTCGACACCATATTACAGATATCCATGCATGCATACGTGACAAGACATCTTCGACATCGGTGCCTGCACCATCGCCTGATGGGGTCCGCTCACTGTTTTTAAAACTTGCTAGAAGAACCCATCCCAGACTGTGTACTTGGCTTACCGACTCTGTCCTGGCGTTGTCTGGCAGACATCGTCAGCTCTACTGGACGACATGTCTGCCGTGGGCTCTGCGGGCCGGCCGCCAGGCCCGCTTCCTGCTCAGCGTGTACTGGGAGCGCCGCTGGCACCAGCAGTTGGAGGAGCTGCGGCAAGGGCTGCACGTGCCGCCGCCGCCGGCCCTTAGCTGACGGTCCGCTGCGCCGTTGGCACCAGCAGCTGGGGGAGCTGCGGCGAGAGCTGCACGTGCCGCCGCCGCCGGCCCTTAGCTGACGGACCGCAGCACCGCTAGACTCGGACCGCCGTCGAGGCGGTCTGAGTGAGTTGGCGCGTGGCGTCTAGTCTGTGATGAATGCCTGGATGCGTGCCTCGTCCTGGGCAGGTGCAGCTTTTGAGCTGCGTTTATGTGCTTATATGGCTTCAGTACATGTGTGATGCAGGTCTTCATGGATTACATAAATGCGTGAATTTCAGATTGGTCGGTGGATTGGAATGGACTTAATCCGGAAGTTTCTGAACGACACGGAGTAGGACTAAAATATATTGAAAACCTAGCCTGCACAAGTTGGTTAGAATGAGTTTGTTAGAAAACCGTTCCCAATGTATAGGTAGTATATTCGTCTTACGTGGCTCATCAAGCATCTGATGATAAACTGGATTGAAATGTAACAGATCGCCTTGCTTCGGATCAGATTGAATCACATTGATCGGATCTTTGGGGAAATGTGTTTGCTTTGGTGTGTTGGATCGGATCCGACTTAATATGCTTGGGCGAGGTAGATCGGTGGGTGGACTGCATTGGAAGTTGGTGGATTGGATCTGGACTCAGATAATCATAAGGAGCCCTGTGGTGATGCCGTTTCCTGCACTGCCCGTCAAACAATCGATTTCAGTCCCGCAGCAGTTTAAGAATGGAGGGAACACGCCTGATCCTTGCAGTAAGCATCACCAGGGGCACCATGCAGACTGCCTCGCACTGCGTGCGCGTATGCGCAACTGTGGGCCTTTTGCAATTCATTATCCATGCTCTGCGCAGCACGCAAACGTTTCGACTATGTGTTGTAGGTATCGTGTGGGAAATGCTCAGGACACATGGTCGTTAAGTTCGTCGGGCATAGTTTGCCTAGCATAAGTTTGTCATGTCAAAGTTCGTGTGCATCACAAGTTGGTCGATGACAACAAGCTCAACGTGCTGAAGTTGGTATGGGGCAAATGTTCGCATGTGACAAATATTTGAGAACTCCCACGCGGCTTTGTGCAGAGGTGTACACGTGGTGTTGTCACTCAAAATTGCCAACATCCAAACACGGTCGTCTTATATATACACAATCCTGTCAGGATGACCTTAGGCCAGACCATACAGGCAGTCCTCTCGAAAACGCCCAAAATGTGTTCAATGTACGAAATTCATGATTTGAACACATCCTGTATTGTTCAGACACATATTCACGTCCCCCCTCCTCTCGGGCACCGCTCAAACACTCCCACTCCCGACCCGCCGCCGCCCCGCCGCCAAGCGGCTGAAACTCGCACCGCGCTCCCGCCTTCAACGCCTGCTTCACAGCTTTCGGTAGCCTCGCCACAAATGCACAGCACAGGCCACCTGCGCTGAGCCCCCCGAGCAGGGACGCAAACTGCTGGAGCTCCGCGAGGAAAACATCTACGGAACGGCTGTCGCAGTGTGGCCAGACCAGTGAGGACCGTCTCGGCCTGCGCACGAGAGGACTGTCACGGCGCAGCAAGACCAGGGAGGACTCTCGCGCTCCGCACGAGAGGACTGTCGCAGCGTGGCCAGACCAGTGAGGAGCGTCTCGCCCTCCGCACGAGAGGACCGCCACGGCACGGCCAGACCAGTAAGGACCGTCTTGCCCTCCGCACGAGAGGACTGTCACGGCGCAGACAGACCAGGGAGGACTGTCTTGTCCTCCGCACGGCAGGACTATCGCAGCGCGGTCAGACCAGAGAGTGGATGTCTCGCCCTCCGCACGAGAGGACTGTCGCAGCACAGCCAGACCAGGGAGGACTGTCTCGCCCTCCGCACGAGAGGACTGTCGCAGCACAGCCAGACCAGGGAGGGCTGTCTCGCCCTCCGCACGAGAGGACTGTCGCAGCACAGCCAGACCAGGGAGGACTGTCTCGCCCTCCGCACGAGAGGACTGTCGCAGCACAGCCAGACCAGGGAGGACTGTCTCGCCTTCCGTACGAGAGGACTCGCAACGCGGCCAGACCGGAGAGGACTGTGTCGCCCTCCGCACGGATGGTCTTCACGACGCCTACCGGAGACCGCACATTGTTTGACAGTGTCAGGAGGTGGTGAGAGTGCGAAAGCACTTCTTATGAGATGACCTGGCTAATAAACACTACAGCAGATTCCATCTTAAAAGGGATTTTTCACATTGAATATATTGAAACAAGCATCAGACATGAAGAAACAAGCTCACTTAAACTACTGGTATGCCCTGAGGTGCAAAAGATTGATCTTGACAACACAATTTCATGTTAGTTAAACGTGTTACTCGATGTGCCATTGTTTCATTATATCGTTTTTTGCACAGCATTGATTGAGAGCGAATTGACGGTGTTATATCTGGAAATCGTGTTCACGAACGCAAAATATCAATGACTCAGCCATTATTTTTTTATTGGCCCGGACCGCCGCATGGCTTACAAAATGGCAGGGTTTGTATGACGCTATTAAGGCGCCGTGCATGCCAAGGTAACCTTGAAATACTCTCACCGAAATGGTCTCCCCATCTTCGCGAACGCGTAGCTCAGAAACTGTAGCGGCTTAACCCTAAATAATGGCAAGGCTGTGGACTGCACCAAATGATCTCCAAGATGGCCATTTCAGTTCAAAACCCCCTACGAATGTGAAGCATTTCTTTAACCATTTCGCATTTGTTTTTTGGACGCTGAGATCCGAACTGTACAAGCCAGCCCGGTCAATGCGTATTCCGCCAGTGTTCAGAGTTGCCTCTAAGCTACGATTTGACGCTCGGACAGACACAATATACGCCCCCAGAAGGTATGTGCTGCCGGCACTGCGCTAGGGCAAGCCACTCTGCCCGAGTTGTCAGCAGCCATGCACGGAACAAGCGATTCTTGAGCTGTGTTGGGCTAGATGGCGTGCCTATCCGGACGGGGCGCCATTGCTTTGATGTCATCTGGCTCGTTATATTTCATGCCACAGACAGGGGTGTAGTGCCCTGTTAAGTTGGGAAGGTGTCTTCGCCCCCCCCCCCCCCCTCCCCCGCCCCCGACCCAGGCTCTAGTTCCCCAACATTCGGAAGAGTAGGCTAAATCTGGGGAGAAACTCATTTGTTAGTGTATTTAGGGGGTAGTTTGGGGTCATTTTCGCTGTTCAACCCCCAAAACTAATTTTGTGAAACTACGCTCGGGCCACAGCCGCCGCGTTTGACTAACGCCTCCGTCGTTAGCTGTGTGCTCCCAGACAGATGGAAGGTAGCGTCTGCGGTTCCTCTGCACAGAGCCGATGACCACAGCCTGGTTAGTGCTTGCTTATCCGTCCCGCCGCCTCCAATCATGTCCAAGACCACCATCAAGCATGATTTCCAGTCATAATCATGATCAGTCATGATCACCAAGATCACGAATCATGTCTAAGATCACACCGTGTGAAGATCACTTGTGGTTTGTGACCAACTGACTACATATTCGGCAGACGACTACCTGTTGAGTGCCTGCGAGTACACATACCACCTCGGCCATTCTGCGGAACGCGACGGTTTTAGGGAATCCTGAAATTATGAAAATACATGTCAACGGCAGAACTGTGGAGCAAAAGTATAACGTGCTGCGATGGCTGGCATGGTCCGTCCTGGCCTCTGACGCCATCTGGCCCATGGCGCGACCGCTGCCAACGGCCACGGGACCGTAGCGGTCAGGGGAAAAATAGCGGGCATCCAAAGTGACTCAGACCCACCTCGTCACAGGTGGGTGGACCGGAAGATATACGCTCTAACCAACTGAGTCATTCGAATGGACGGAAAGAACATGCTACATGCTGACAGATGGCAAATAACTGCACTCTCGGGAGCGACCTTGGACCAGTCGCTGGGCGGGATTGACGCACAGACTAACAGACCGATCAAATGTTTATGGGTACTGTTCCCAGCGTATCAAATTACGGCTGTTTGGCTCCAAGTATCGCTGTCCATGGTAGTGTATATGATATTTAAAACCAAAGGAGTTGTCCTAATCACAAATTCCGAAATAATATTCAGAAGTGTCGTGTTCGAAAAAGGCATTATAACCTGACAACGTGGGGGAGGGGGGGGGGGGGCTAAGGCGCCATGAGCACCACCCTTTTGCTTCGCCATTGCCTGCGACGCACGACATCCTCATGTTCTTGAGTGGCATCCGATGTTACTGTACTACACAATAATCCTCAGCCAGATCATTCAGTCTATGTATTCTTATTATATATATATATATATATATATAGATATATCTTACATCGCCTTCTGCTGCCGTTCTGAAATGAGGGGCGGGTCGATTATCGACTCTAAAATCGCGTCCAAAAAGTCATTACCTCCTGCCGCTCGGCTGGTGGCTGCTCGCCGTACCACGTCACAATCGGCCCCTAACCCCGCAGCACTGGTCAAGGAATAGCGAGCCTTGTGGAAGCGCGGACTGCCCTGCCTGAAAGTGTGCCACGCCTCATCACAGCTATGGCCGGCGGCCTCAGACAGCCCCGCTCACAGACCATGTTTAGGCGCGGGGTGTGGGGACGTCGCTGCGCACGACATATGGCTCCCGCCGATACAGAGCGGCTCCAGCTGCCGAGAGGGCGGCTTGTCAGCCGCTGGGGATGTTCAGAGTACCAAGCAGCGTCAGAGTGGAGCCATTCGCCCGGTGAGACACCGGACGCTTCCAGCATTCTTGAGTCAGAGTTGTATCCCTCGGCGGAGGATCTGGGTTGCGTCGCCCTGCTTGTGCGCTTTACATTGACTTAGCATTGATATCAACCTTTGTCTGTCCACAGCGATTCGTTTTTGTCCTTTGCATTAAGCTTTTTTTTGGGGGGGGGGTTATTGTTTGTCGTCATCGTAAAAGAATTACGCTAGCATGTATGGGCACGAGCTGTATGAATAGTATGATAACGAATGCTGAATCCCAGTCATGGTGCGTGCATGTAGTTTGACTCAAATAAACGGGACTTGCGGATTCGTGATGAAGTGGTGAGTGACGTTATAGGCTGGGTATGCACTTTCAGCTTGGTGGAACAAAAATGCCAGCGGAGAGCTGGGTTTGTGACCGGATTCCCGAAGTATTAAATGTCAGAGTTCATCCGCCGGTTTATCCTGAAAGCCTGAGGAGATTGGTCCTGCGCCAGAGAAGGTCGGGGGAAGGATCACACCAGGACGATCCCATCTCCAGGACAACTTGGATGAAGTAAAGCATATGGCATTCTCCAAGAAGACCAGTCTGGGACTCATCCTGAGCCAGCACCAGATCACCACGGGTTTCCAGGTCAACGCTCAGCGATGCGCTTAAGCTTCAGGAGGTGAAGGGATTGAGGCGATGGCCATTGCACCGATGTCTGAGCTCGCACATCAAGCCATGACAGTCGCCGGCCAGCAGGGGCCATACACCGCAACGTCGGCCAGCGAACGAGCTAAGGATTCTGATGCTCACCGATCACTTTAAACGTGCTGATTACACGTTTTAAAGTGTCGCCAAACGCCAAGAGTAACGGCGTCTACGGGGGTGGCGAAAAGAACGAGTTCCGGTTGGCCTGGCCGTACCATGATAAGTCCAGACTTTAAAGCAAAGCTATGTTAGCACTGAATAACTATCTTGATGAATGACTGCATGCTTGCAAAGCCAAAATCTTTCTTTTGGGACAGAAAAGAGGAAGTCAACTTTCCTGCGTGTAAGCCCCTCGTGGAAGAGGAGCCGTCTGCGCTCAGTAGCATCACTCAGCGGCTTCATCACCCAGCAGGACGCCCCCCTCTGACGCAAGCCAACCATTTGAAAAGCCACTTGGTGCTGCTGCTTCATAAAAAAGGACGAGTGAACATCAACTCTTTCTGACCTGAATCCACTGGACTTCTACTGCGTCTAGAATGCACTACCGGAGAAAGTGTCCGGTCTCGCCACCACCAGACGTCCCGCAATCTGGGCAACTGAAGGAGTGAGGAGCTGTATACGTCAGTAGGGGGAGGAGGTGTTACCCCCACTGGTTCCATGGGAGGAAGCATCACTTGTCACCACGGCGTCGCTTTATATACTTCCTTGGGTGCCTGAGGCCGCCCCCCCCCCCGCAATGCTGACTGACCCCCCCCCCCCCCACATGCTCCTCTGAACCCTCTCAATCCATATAAGCAAAGAGGGAATACCGGGCTAAATACCAACAAAACAGTCATATGTAGTAGGTACCTAATCATAGCACCTTTAGGATCACGCCAATTTTGTACCGAATAGTATTCTGTATGTACATGATATTTGCATTCTAATCTGCTCATATGTTAAGTCAGTTGCAACTCTTTGGCAAACGGCTGGACTTGCATAAAAAGCAATCAATTGCAATACGTGGCAGCTTTCAAGTACAGAGCGGTCCAGATAAACGTGAACACATGTTTTTCACAACGTTGGCAAGTGATCTGTCGCATAATTGTGATTGTTGAGGTTACAAAACGCGATCAGCGACAGCGGTAGTCTTTAGTGATCCATTTCTTTGGACCACTTAAGATTTCCTAGAATTATTTAGATATTTTTTGGTGGCTTATACCACATTTTAAGCTTTCACACCAAAAGGCAGATTACATTTGCTTGAAATGGGAAACCATTCCTGCGCAGGAAAACAGGTCTGAATCTACAACACAACTGAATGTACAAATACAAAATTGTGTGATCAGGTTAATGGGGGTTCCATCGCCCAAATCCCCCCCAATAAACACGGCTATGAAATAGTCTATATTTTGTAACCCAACAACGCAATGAATTAGATGAAAGGTCTAAAAACTCAGCACATGTTTCTACGTCTTTTAATTTAGCATACAAAACATCAAGTCGATAGATTACAGCAGTTTGTAGAAATATGCAACTAAGGTTTAGGAGCTTTATTTGTATCGCCCTTCGCATATATATATATATATATATATATATATATATATATATATATGTTTATATATATATATATATGCATGTATATCTATATGTATATATATATAACACAAACACACACAAACACACACACACATATATATATACATATCTAATATATATATATATAATATATATATAT